GGTTGTAAAGAGAGGAAAAAAGGGATGTATGTTTTCCGTGATGACGTTGAGTTGAATCCTATAGTAAAACAGTACTCTTCAACAAGATAACAGAAAACAGGCTTCCTGAGGTCCTTTCGCTTCGTTTCAATGCTTCTAATGGTGCTAATAGGTAGTGTAATGGTATAGGTATGACCGGTTTGTTGTGTTTGTTGCTATTAGTGTTGTTGTTCTTGTAGTGACAGATCCAGAGGGGAAGCGCTTCGGTTTTCGGCTTCCCGTGAAAAAGTGTTTTTTAGGATCGTGGAGAGACGTAGGATTACTACCACAACCTACTCTATCACACTTTATAGTCTCCCGCGGGAAGCCAGATCTACGATCCCTTGATGATGATCTCTCTCGTTGATTAGTTTTCATAGCTTTCTAATCTCTCTCATAACTTTCATTCTCTCAAACTCAAAACACTCGAAAGATCTTTACACTAGCTTTTAGCGTAGTGCACCAGCGTGGAGTTTTGTGGGAGTGAGAAACCACTTCTAAAATAATCCAGCCAACCTACGCGCGCATACATTTTTCAGACTGTAATTAAGAAATTTGCAGTCTTGGCGGCAGGAGTCCATATCTATCCACTATAAAATACAAGTTAAACTCCAAAACCGTGCTATTTGCTTCAAATCTGACAGCATCGGACGTGGGGAGATATAAAGGGATGCATGCATGGAAGGGGTGGGATTGCGGTGGCAAGATATAGGAAAGCAATGCCGCATGACTAGAACTCAATTTCTTTTTTTGTTCCGGAATTTTCTCTTCTTGAAAGGAACCAAGGAAGACGCCGACCCCTTCCTCCGATTCGGTACTGTACCAGTACCGGTACGACCAGTGACTGTTGGGTTCGTCGCCCTGCTCCAGTACCGGTACACCGGTACACGTGTACCAGGTACTGGTAGAAGGTGGTGTCACCCAGTCGTGGCGCCTCTTTAACTCTTCTAGTCGTGACTAATTTAATGGTGACTCTCTCTTCGATGCTCCGCAGCTCCACAGCTCGACCCTGCCAGAGCCCCACCACCTCCGCAGCACCACCCAACAAAAAATAACAAGATGCCTGCGGTTACGCCAACCACGGAAATAGGCAGAAATAGCAAAAAGGGCTGTCACTTGATTGGCAAATAGCTAACACTTACTGCCATGGGCTCCCAGAATGCATACGTGCTTTAGATAGCTGCTGCGTAATGGTTTAATCTACCTAAACCCCTGTTTATATTATTGTGGAGTGGAGTTTGGTTACATCTGGCCGGTGCCGAGCAATGGTCTAATCTACCTAATCCCCCTTTCATATTGAGGTGTGGAGTTTGGTTACATCTGGCCGGTACCACGTAATGGTCTAATCTACCTAAACCCCGTTTATATTGAGGAGTGGAGTTTGGTTACATCTGGCCGGTACCAAATAATGGTCTAATCTACCTAAACCCCCCTTTATATTGAGGAGTGGAGTTTGGTTACATCCGGCCGGTACTGGTATAATCTAAATAACCCAAGTTTTAACCATACACGTTTTACACCTTTTAACAGCTTTCTCGTTTTCGTATTTAATGTTAAAGAATTTTAACAGCATCTTTTAGTTCGCACACAGTTATAATCTTTTGGTAGACATCATTAAGGGGAATCTATTGAAGGATTTAAAGGGAATCAGCAATCGGAGCAAAAATTTGACTAAATAAGTACTGATCCTCAAAACGGCCGAATCGCTAGAGAATGTAGGCTTTAACACTTAAAGAACTTCTTGGTTGTTTCACTTTTTCATACGGGAACCAAATGATGTAGTTAAAAAAGGCTTAACATTGCGTTAAATGTTAATAGGTGTTAAACGTGTAAAATACCGGTGCTCGCACAGTTATTACCGGTACGATGCATAAGGCAAACTCGGCTAACCTTAACCCTAAAAAAAGGACCAAAAAAAGGGACGACCACAACAAAATTCTAACCCAGCCAACTCCGTGGTTCGCGAAAATAAAAATAAAAAACAAACTCCGTCAAAGCAAGGAGCATGCAATCATACAATACAAACCAAGGAAGCAGGAGCAAGACCCAGGAAGCGTTTTCTTGGGTGTTGTTTGGTAGTATAGAGCATGAAATCAGTGCTCATCAGTGGCTCAGTCTCGTCAAATCACATGTCGTTTTCCATCTGGCAGAATCTGTCATCTGAAATTTGGGGCGGAAAATGAGATGTCACCATGATGAGCTCACTTTTTTGTTCAACCGGATTGCGAGAGTTGCATACCCAACCGAACAAGGAAGACTTTCGCGATTGTTGATAAGCCTAGGCCAGATCAACCCCCCTACTTTCAATTACCCTTTCTATCAATCTTCTATTCAATACCTACCAATTGCAAAATGAAGTTCTCTTCTTCTATCATCAAGCTGCTCTCGTGGTCCATGACCACCGACAACAACAACAGCAACACCATGAAGACCCCCGTTCTCCAGGTTGCCAAGAAGATGACGGGCAACAACAACAGCAACGACAAGGATGTTCCTGTGGCAGAGGAAGTCCCAACGTTCCAACTGGACGAGTTGGACAAGACATGCATCGAAACTGCGGCACTGTTGCACACAGATGGAACGCATTCTGATGTGGAATTCCAGCAGCATTGTTGCTACCTAGGTGCCTGCGACCTTTCCCTGGTTCCTGCGGATCAGCATGGTCACTACGGATACGACAATACAACCAGCACCGGCCCAAAGGCTGTCGCATCCAACCCAGCCAATCAGCCAACGCTCGCTGGAAGATCCATTACGGCCAAGACACCGAACGGAGCAATGGAAACCGTTTATCCTTTGCTCCCGTCAACACTGTAGTGGGGTACTCTTCTGATGAGAGCGAACAAGAAGAAAAACGTGATGTCTATCGAGACATGAACAAACAAGTGCCACAGGCCCGATACGAATTCTGGCAGGAAGCCCAACAACAATTCATTTCCGTCGGCACACCCACACCCCACGAACACGTCTTAGATCTTGTGCAGTTGATTCAAGAGTACAGATACCAAGAAGTGGCCAAATGGATCACCAACCACCTATGGTTCCAAAGTGACAAAGCGTACCTACAAAAAGCCAAACTGTACATTCAAATTGATGCCATGCATCAAGACCTCGAGTTACTTGTTCGTTTCATCAAGGCGAAGAAAGGAAACGACAAACAAGTCTCGCACTGGTTCATGGTCAACAAAAAGAACCCTTACATGTTCGAACTCGCCATGTGCCACTTGCATCTCGGTGGAATTCAGTGCAACGCTGACGACGAAATTTGCACCTTGAATACGCGAGAACAGATTGCCAAACGACGATTTGTCTATCGCAAGGTCAAGGACGTCTGCATGGAAGATGCGACACCCGTAGTAGTAGAACAACAGCCAACAACAACTAAAGACATCGAGACAATAGAAAAGTCTCGCCCGTCGACGACAACAAGATGGCATCCGATGCCACAGTGGTTTCCACATGCACAGCAGTGGTTCCATACGTTCAAAAGTGGCATGTGACACACTTCAAGATCAGTGTGCATGGACAACAACCATTTGTATTGGAGATGCGAATGATGAATGGTGTGCTACTTGGAGTTGTACCCAAAAACTTTCTCGCACGTTTGATGAAGGATGGTGGAGACATTGTCAAGGAAATGATGCAGGGGCACAAGACACTACGATTGGAAGCCCCAGATGATACGGATACGGATTACGAATTCGTGACTGGCGACGAAGTGGTGGAAACAGCGGATGATGAACCACTACTGGTCGAGGAACAACAACAAGTTGATGCTGATGAACCACTGGTCGACAACCGAGTCGATGAGGAGGACAATGTGGACACAATACAATCAACATTGAGACGATCAAAGAGACGCATGGTGGCGATTGCATCTCAGAGAATCGCAGAACAAATCAAGACGAAGCCACGGAGGGTGGCAGTTGAACAAGCTAGAATTGATAAACGTAGACGGCCGCGGCCACCAAGAAGAAGTCGACAAAGCCAAAGGCGAAGGGCAAGAAGAAGGCGACGACACAACCTGTGACGGACATACATCAGCAAACAACATTTCAGACAACAACAACTCTTTCTGGACGGCAAGTCAGAAAGCCTGACCGGTACATTCCAGTCTAGGACAACAGGTAAGTAAGTGGTCGACGACGACCATCGATTGCGGGAACTAACACAATACAATACACAACGAGCAAGCATCTGGTGGGGTGCAGGGCTATACAACAATTTTCTTTTCCATATGCGGAGATGAATACAGTTGGCTGGTTCAATTGAAGGGTCACATATAAGGTAGCCAGGTTTGTGGTTCCTGTACTTGGCAGCCTCTGCAAGAGTGCTTGTCCGAACGTCCTCCACGCGACGAAAGTCCAAAGTTAATACCCGTGACACCTGACAACCAACCTCTATCATTGTTGATGCTATGCTACAATCTTAAAATTCAATGCAACCAAACATAGACATAATACAATAACGCATAGTAGAGAATCTTTACAACCAAAAAGCGTGGCTTTATTATTTATAGTAGTTGTAGTCATACTAGATCTAGCTAGCTAGCTAGCTAGTGGTAGTTCTGTTTTAAAAAATCATAGTACTGTAGCATCCATTGTACGGAAGGGCAAGCGTGTGCTCATTTATGTTTCTCCGCTCGACGAATGAGCCAGGACGTTCAACCTATACCGGTATGATAAGCATAATACCGGAAAGATTGCTCTTTCATTTACTGTACTTTTTTAGAATCAGGCAAGAGCCACTCAAATACATTCTCCTACGGTACCGTACTGTACACGAGTATCACACGTTGTTAATAAAATACAGTAAAACGCATTTCTTTTGTTTGTCTACCCTTATTATTATTATGCCAAACTATAAAAAAAAGCCTACTCGTAATTCATTATTATGAATGAAAACGCAGTCCATGCAATTATGTATCCGATCCAACGTTGTTGTTGCCACAACAAATCCCATCTGGTAGCTACCGTACGTAGTCATGCATCACTGGTACTGGTACTGGTATAATATAGATTGTGTGGTGTTGCCCGCCAACACGTAGCCGTAATGGATTTCACGTGCCAGTCCCAAGAAGAAGAAGAAGAAGAATATGGATCCCCCGACGAGAAGACGTTTTGTTCCCGTTGCATCATGGGTTGGACGACATCCTCCATGAGTTCTCGTGCCACTTTTTCCTCGGCTTTGGACTTATTGTTGTTGTTGTTGTTGTTATTTTGGAGGAGTGAGCTGAGAACTTGTTCTAAATCAATCTTGGCTTGGATCGTATATCGCAGCGATGTACTGCTAATGTCCTCCTCACTATTAGTATTGTCGTTGTTGTCGTTGGCTGTTGTTGTTTGAGCAATCCGTGCCAATGCCAATTGTGCCTTGGCGCGCAAGATGAGGGATTTGGTATGCGAGGCATCAAAGACGAGTGCATAGGACGCCAAGTATCCGACATTGACAAAATCTTCCAATTGAAAATAACAATCGGCTTGACTGGCCAAGAGCGAGACGAGTTCTTTCCAGTCCACCGCGGGCATGACGTGACAAATGAAATTGGGGGGGAATTGTTGGAGTGCTTCTTCATACAACTGTAATGCCGCGGGATAATCGCGTTGAAAGAAAAAGGCTTCGTTGGCGCGTGTCTTGAGACTGGCAATGCGTTGGCGATCGTGAGAAGCGAGTCGACATATTTGCACATACGGAGGTGCAATCAAATCGGCCGCCAAGCAGCGGAGCATCAAACTGGCCATGGTCAAACAACGGCATTGCAGGTGTTGCTGGAGTTCGTGGTATTTCGTGCGGTCGTCTAATGGCAAGTAATCTTCCAAATAGAAATAATCGTCATGATCAGTGCCATCGTTGGAAAAGGAAGTCTCCATCCATGACGCCATCAACCGCTGGGAGCATTGTAAAGAAGCATCCAAGTCGGTCGAGTCGTCTTGATCTTGTAGTTGTTGGAGACATTCCAACAGAGTGCTGACTTCGGCCGTGAGCCAATGTCCGTTCACGGCCCAGTTACCATCGTACATTTGAAACAAGGAAGAATAGTAGGCAGCATCGTCTTCGTCATCCACGTCGGTCGAATAGTCCGTGGTGCAGGTGGTATCCTTCAACAGATTATTGTCGTCATCGATGTTGTTGTTGTTGTTGTTGTCCTCCAAAAAGAGCAATCGACTAATACTGTCCATGACTGACTGCCTGCCTCAAACTCGAAAGATGAATTGAATGAATGGAATGTCCAGGGAAACTAACGTAACACCAAACTGGAGAAGAAAGCCAAATTCTTTCGCACAAATGAAGATAGATAACTCCACAAGATACCACAGCCAGAGGTAAAAACAGATACAGGGCGAGGATAGGAATGAATGTAACCACACCAACAATTTTAATAAATTGAGGCGAGAGACTTACTTCTTTCCTCTTTCCAACAGGGAGGGGTGAATAAGGGAGGTGACATCGTTGTGGGACCAACTTTCGTGGTGCGTAAGAGACCCGGATGTGTAGTCGTAATCTGCAGCCACGCAAGTGTCCACATACTTCCGCGGAACCTCGCCATGACTTACTTACGGTACGGCACCGGTACGGCTCGTGACGGGATGTCACACTTACTTTAGAGCCACAATTTAACTCTGTGGTTGGCACCTTTGTTTCTGCTCGTTTGAGCATTGCCCTGGCTAGCTAGTAGTAGAGCCGCTCGTGATCCTGTTTTAAAATAAATTCGATGAGCTCACGTCATTGGGATGATTGTGGTGCTCTTGATCTATATATCATGGCTGGCTAGCTAGTCTGCCCCCCTGCTCCGTCCCCCTCACTGCTCTGATAAAAAGTGTTCATTCCTTTCCTCTTATGGTCTCATACTGCGGCCAAGGTGATCAATGTGATCAATGTGATCAACCTTGTTTCGTCCTCTTTGAAGAAGAATAAAACAACAAGCCATCAAGATGATACAGCCAACGGATCATCACAAAAGTTGTGTGGGTACCGGTACCATGTATGTACCGGTATGAGCCATTGCTCAACCATACTGATACCCTGCCTCGTCAGAGTGCAGTGTTTGGGATGATCCAACCAGCAGTCAGGTGTTGTAAACCCCCCAATTCTGTCCCCAATCCGAGCTAGCTACTGTAGCCAGCACAATCAATCTGGCAAGAACTGTATCGAGGGATACCCACTCTCTGTACTTATCCGTAGATACTACTAACAGGAGCCACTGTCCTGTCCAAGTCATCTACAGTGCGGAAGCTCAGGCAGTGCCAGTAGCTGGGAGTCAAGGAAGACACGATGGGTTTGTTTTGATGGATGTACGGAGCCCTTTGGCTCCTGTGTTGGTCCCCAATTTGTCACCCCTGATCCCAGGGAACTGGGCCTCTTCTTTGACTAAGCCTCATCTCTTGCTAGCTGGCTTCTGTAGAGGATAACTTCCCTACTCTAAACAGCTCTCTAACCCCTCACCATGTACCGTACAGTACGTATTGAGTGCTCGATCTGCTCGAGTACACAATCAAATCCCGAGTTGGATTCGATTCGCTTTTGGTACTACTTCCACAGCGGACGAAATATTCTAACCTGGGACCTTTCCTGCGAATGCTATGGCAACAGGAAGGTCTCACTCCACAGAATTCGGCGCCTCATCAAAATTAGCAAGACGCGGCCATGAGCCATGCTCTCGATTTGAAATTTTTTCTCGCGCGGTTGCAAGACAATGAGTTGGATCCAACGTCCATTGAGACGAGTGAAAGCCTGGGTCGCTACGTTGTTGCCCGTAGAGACTTCTCTGATCTTGGAACTGTCATATTTCGAGAGAAGCCGATGGTTGTCCATAGTGACAATGACTTGAGACAGCTGTATGATGGGTATCTGAACGCAACGGATCACACCAAGCAGCTCATTTTGGACATGTATACACCTCCAAGCAACTCGGCCCTGATGCTTCAAGCGGCCATGATGTCTGGTCTATCTGCTTTGGGATATCGCAGAGCTGCTGAACTCGGACCACAGAAGATGACGAAACTTGCCGGTGCCTCAATGACGAACTCATTTGCGTATTACGGAAGGCCCCTGCAATATACGGAGATAACCCAGGCTACCACCAGAAAAAAGGCCGCACTTCTCGCGTATGGATCAAAACTGGCACATTCTTGTGCACCCAACACAATCCAGTTCTCCAAAACTAGCGACGGCTACATGCACTTCAAGGTTATTCGTCCAATCAAATCGGGAGACTCGCTTTCCATATCTTATATTCGGGAACTGTTCTCTAGCCCTACCTTTGCCAGACGCGACGAACTATGGAAGTCCAAATCCTTCGTTTGTAGATGTCCACGCTGCATGGGTCCTGATCATTGTCGAGTTATTCGGTGCCCGAACAAATGCAAAAACCATGTTCACTGCTTTTATGACAATGTTGGGTCGAGTGATGTGTTTTCGGCGCCTGACAATAATGTTGATCGTTGGGTGTGTGGCAAATGCGGGCCCTTGGAACCGACGTTGGCAACAGAAATTGTTTCGACGGAAGCTCAAGTTGAAAGAACTGTTTCCCGCATTGAGATGCGAACTACGAGTGGAATGATTGAAAGCTTGTTCCCAAAAGCATTGAAGGCAGATCTGCAGGTGGCAAAGAAGGAACTTTCGTCGGTTCACTACTTGACACAAAAGCTCCTGTTACTAACCACCAAAATCTGTGCATCTCATGCAGTTGGGATAGAAGAGGCATCGAAAAGCGGTATGGTGCCACACAACATGATGACGCCCTACGGGACATCGGTACAGCTTCGACGACACGCGGCGGTCGCCGGTTTCGAGTTTGTTGCGTCCTGTGAGTGCGTTGCTGTTGGTTGTTCTTCAATCAATTGCAGTGTTGGAAAGCGCAACCACGCGCCCGTCATGGACTGTGTGGAGAATGTCCTTTTTGCGTGGCAGGACTTGGATCACGTGCCAAAACGCCAGTGGCCGAACTACGTGACACCAGTGTACTTGGAACCGTATTTGTCCTTCCTTCGTATTTCGTATGGTCCTACTGATTGCGATGTGCGAGACATTGAGACTCATGTGGCAAAATGGAAGAAGGATAAATACTCCAAGGAATCTTTCCCAGAAGATGTGGCAGCAGCGGGCAGTGAGCCCATCCCGCGCTGTGACTATTGCGGAAAGCCAGAACAAGCCCCGAAGGCTTGTAGTAAGTGCAAGAAGGCTCGATACTGTTCGAAGGAGTGCCAGGTTGCAGCTTGGCGTACGGGGCACAAAAAGGCGTGTTCCCCGTAGCTTTTTCTGTAGATCATTCGTGGCCCATCCATTGCGTTTCATATGCCCTGTTCCAGAGTTTCCCCCGTGAAATAAACTGTTCTTCGATGTACGGTAGGTAACTAAGGTAGGCAAAACTTATGCGTTGTTGATGTCAGCATTGACAGACAGAGCCACAACTAACCAGCTAGGTAACAATAGCACAGAACCACTTCTCTGGCTAGCTAAGCAACAGATTGAAAACAGAAGAAAGGAATGCTTTGTTGGCTGGCCCACCAAAAGCAAGTTGTAGAAAGTCTTGGAACTACTCAGCAGACCAAACTGTCGTGTGGATCCTTGCTCATGCAGCAAAGATGATCGATAAACGTTGTATGATCAACAAGCCATCAAGAGCTCTTGCAGTGCGATTGTACCGGTACCGTAGAATCAATCGATCATCCAAAAAGAGATTTCCCCCCTCCTGCGCGCTGGTATGTCCCAGCACGAATGATCTGCCTCCGCCTTCACGTTCATCAACAAGTTTGTATTCCGCAATGGGTTCGTTGTATTCCGACCTTCTGAAATTGCAAATCCTCACAATCAGCCAAGCTGTCAAAAGAACATTTGCAAAAAGCGTATATCCAGCAAAAAGGGTGACCTGTGGCTACTAGCTAGCTGGCAAGCTCTATTTCCGACGCTGGCAGTATGCATCTGCTCGACATGCTCCACCACTGGTGATTCCTCGACCACTAACTTGACACCACCCTTCCACTCAAGCCAACAAAAAAAGAAACTGGTTGCTGGAACAGTACTGTGTTAATTATTCCGGTATTTTAAGCACCTACTAGTACATTGACTCTTTTCTCAAACGACCTGCACGGCAAGAAGTGCAAAAGTGAGAGCAACTAGCAACCACACCGCGTACCGGTACGATGGGCAGATGGTAATGGTAATTGCAGTTATAAGCAGTAATCTTTTAATCATACCAACGAGCAATAGTGCACAACAAAACGCAAGATGATATCATCTTCATTCAGCCTATGATCTTGTCAGCTTTGAAACAGAAGAAACATATAGCCCTGAAGACATTCAATTGGGTCAACAACCGGAGAATAATGAACTCCACCAGACCCAAAAGCCTGAGAAAGTTAGAAGGCAAAGATATCAATGGTGCCAAGAACAGCTATGGCAAAGGTCAACTTGACAGAATTCCGTCCTACGCTGCTGGCCTCTGCTACGCCGCCGGCCTCAGTGGGTGCGGGTTCTAGGATCTCAACAACTTCGTTCACATAAACACCAGGAGCGGGCTTAGAACGCATACCATTGTAAAGCTCGTGGCCTGGAAAGATACCATTCCCTGCATTGGGCCATTCGTATGGAACCAAAGGCTGGGCGATGGGGTTCTTATTGTCGTCCATCTCAGACCACGTGATAGAAGTGGAGAGCTTGCTGTCTGTTCCGTATCCCTGACCATTAGGGCTCTCCAGCCATGCAGTCGGACACTTATCTGGCATGCACTTGTTTGCGATCCACAGCTCCAGTGCCGCTAATGCAATATGCGGGTGGCGGTACTTGCCCGAGTTTTCGCCAGTGTGAACGTAAGGGCAGAAATCCCCCCAGATTACTCCAGAATCGGCAACATCTACGGAGCAATAGTGTGGACCACGGCAATTGCCTTCGTCGCAAGCTGGCGATTCTCCGCCGTATTCTAATCGGAAGTACGTGCTGCTGGGCTGGCCATCGAGAAGGATTGGCGGCTGGTACTTGATCTTTTCGCCCTGTCCAAAGTATTCGTATACAAGCTCGTCCAACACAGACTTCTTGATGTTGCACCCGCTGGTCTCGTAGTGAAACCAAGAGCACACGTCCTGCTCACAGGCGTTGTAAGCATTTTTGATGGCAGCGAGAGGGACGAAAGGCGGTATGTGTCCAATCCCATACTCGTCACTGATAGTTGCACAGTCTGGCTCACCACAATCATTACCCACTTTTGGGCATTCGGCAATGTTCACAGCATCAGATGGGCAATGGTGGGTGGAACCATCTCCTGGCTGTCGGAGGAATGGAGCCGCGAACTCATAGGGGTAGTGAGTGTCGATGGGAGTCGGGTATCCACCCTTCGACGGGTCAAGTCCAGCAAAAGCCTTCGTGTAATAACACGGATTGAACTTCTCTTCTTCTGGAGTCGGAAATACGCCAAAATCAGATAAAAGTTCCCCACCCACGCTACCAAGGCGGGGGCAACCCGCGTCTGGAACTTCCCATGTTGGGAAGGCTTCCTCAATAATGGTCTCCCAGGCGGGTTCTCCAAAATCATCTTCGTTAACCGGGATATGGTTTATTTCACAGGTAGGTTGGTCCTGAGCCCTGGCCGTGAAGACGCCGACGGCTGCGAGAAGAGCAGCAGTTGTGAAGTGCATGCTTTTTCTTCTTTTTCTTCCAGCTCAAAAGAATCGAGCAAGAATCGAATGATTGAATCCAAAGCAAGTTGAAGAAATTGTGAAAAAGGTTTGGACAAAGAGGAGCACTTTCAACTTCACACACATACTAGTACAACCGAAAGAAATCTTTGACCGTTGGAGTACTCCACATATTATTTTCACACGCGTTCACAATCCTGTACATGTAGCCACTGCACGACCGGCCGTTGGACAACTCTGGCTCCTGTGCTCCGCGGCTCCACCGGCTCCATGACAGTTCAGGCACTGCTAGCTAGTCTAGTCTACTGTTGCGACCCAGGCTAGCAAGCCAGAGAGGTACTCCACTCACTCAAGATCTGGCAGCGGTACTAGTACCACTGTACGACAGTGCAGGTACGATACCTGGCGCCACTGGAAAGTGTGGCAAAAGTTGAATTGGCGATGAAAACTGTTGAATTTCCAGCGAAAGGGCCGGAAATCACGATTTTATGAATCCAACCAAATTGATCAATTCGAAACCTAAATATAAAACCGAAACCTAAATATAAAACCGAAACCTAAATATAAAATCGAAACCAAATTACTATGGTAATTAACTAGTAAAATCAAGCCGAAACCAAAATATAAGATCGAAACCAAAATATAAAACCGAAACCTAAATATAAAATCGAAACACAAGTATAAATCGGAATTTGGTGTAAATGGCCATTTCGGGCCCTTTCAGCCGGATTCCACTTTTCAACAGTGTTGAATTTCAAAAGTGTTGAAAAAAGTGCACAGTGTTGAATCTATTCAACACTTTGTTCAAGAGTACAGTTTAATTCAACAGTTTGCTAGTTATAATGGTGCATACTACGGCTACTAGAACAATTGTCCCCGTGTCACAGAAACTGCACAGAAATTGGCTTCGTGTAGAACTAAGTAGAAAGTCTACGGCGACGAAATCAATTTCTGTGTCATGAAAATGATGAGCTCGTGATTCAGAATGATCCTTAAGTAAATTTGAGTCCAGTTGTCACAGAAATCGTCTCGCCACAGCATGAAAATTGCATGAAAATGTTTTTCTCATATCACAGAAATCAGTCGTGTTTCACGGGGACAATTGTTTTAGTAGTCGTAGTATCTCAACACTTTATTCAACAGTAATTCAACAACTGTTGAATCAAACTGTTGATTCAACAGTTTTCAACTGTTGAATCAACAGTTTTTTCAACAGTTGTTGAATCAAAATTCAAAACTTTTGCCAGTTTCAACAGTTACAAAGTGTTGAATTCCCCTCCTCCCTCGCCAAATTCAGCTTTTGCCACACTTTCCTGGAATGATCATGTGTCGTACCAGCACAATTTGCTTTTGGGAATCAGGAAGTCAGCTTTACACAAACTGTAATTTATCAAAGTTCAAGTAAAATTCAAAACGAAAGGAAAATACCTTGTTATTAAGAGAATAACCCATAATACGGATCTTCTACTAGCTAGCTAGACGCTGATGTGGTTAGCTTGTCGTCATTCATATCCTCCAGCCACATTCCTTGTATGGCTCCTGCGACGGAAAGGATGCCACCGTAGAGCCCTGTATACTCTGTACTAGCATGGCTGGCTCGCATGCTGACGCACAAAGAACAATGGTTTATTTAACGACACCACTCAAATTCATTTAAGGCACATAACCGGTACCACCAACCCTAATGAGTTTCCTCCTCGATGCGCACTCCGTCGACTGATCGATCGAACGGAACCAACGAACAACAACAACAACAACAACAACCAACAGACTTGTAGCGCGTTGCATGTATGCATGCCGATAGGATCCTCTTTTGACCTTGCTACTACTCATCATTGCAGAGCTTTACCATGAACCCAGTTGATGGGTTAATAGCCTTGGTGTGCATCATCTTGGTTTAGCTGTAGCCATGAAAGATGAGAGATGAGGCGATTTTCCAAACTCGAGGAGTTGCACATCATGTGGCAAAATTTTGGAGGTGAGCCTTGCCAATGACGGCAGGCAGGCATGGGGATGTTGTTCTTGACCATGGCGCCCATGCATAGTCTGATTATGCCGTGGTGCATAGATTAATGCCATGGTGGTCCAAACAAGACGATCAAAACGATCTTCCACTTCCAACCAGGAAAACAACGGCATCTCTCCAAGGCGTGTTGTGCTTAGCGGGAGGAATTATGCGTCCCCAACAAACAGTTCCCTACAAAGAGAGGCTACAAGACAATCAAGAAGAGTTTCCACTAGTAACGGCATCTCTGAACCGCGCGTTGTTCTTGGTAGGCGAAACTACGAGTCACCCACGCAGTGTTCTCTACAAAGAGAAGGAACAGGACGAGTCGCTGCTGCTGTCCACCAAAAGAGGAGATCTAGCCAGAGGACTCCAGTAAATGGAACTCCTTTGACTCCAGCTGTCAAAAGACCTGCAATTGTCAACACTGGAAGCAACCAAAGAGCTACATCACGTGTACTGTTTGATTCTTTGCCGATTGATGCCGAAATTATGGCCAAGTCTGTCGTAGCCCTCTTCCGGAAGAATACTGAGATCCAGAGTCGTTGGTGGCTGCTCTCCACAGCAGTGCATGTCTGCCATCGTCTAGCTAACTTCCATCCCAAAACACCTCTCATTGAAGGAAGCTACGGGCTACAATTTACTGTTGAAGCAGCGCTTGCTGGCCTCCTGCAGCACAATTGCGTTGACACAGGTTCAATGAAAGATCGGTCAAAGGGAATCTATATCCACACAATCAAAGAAACGACTGTTGTGTACGCTGATTTTTCTGCAACAGTTCCTTGGATACCTCCACTGGCGGTGTCAAATGCTCCTGGTTGGTTGGACCTACTGGAAACGCACAGGCTATCAATACGCCCGTATCTACCTTTGGGGCTCTACAAGCTGTGCAACTTTTGGTACTCTACTGAAGCTGAGAAGTTGTTTGGAGCTGGGGAAGATGAAACAGCAGAGGAGGCAGCACGGAACCTTCAAGCAATCTTGATAGAAGGAGTCCGGACTGCAGGTGCCGCGAAAGATCTTATCGTTGGGCTTGCCGCGGATGATCCTCCAACATATTTTATTGATAACTACGATGGAGAGCCGCTGGAATTGAAGTTTGATCCCAACCGAGTGGACAAGCTTGTTCATGCTATCCAGATCAAATCATATTATTTGCTTCGAGCAATAACTCTTATGCTCGAAGCTGACGCCGAGAATGAGCCACTCTGTTGGAAGGGCAAGTGCCAGCAAGCAATGGTTGGTGTACAAGCCAATACCGGAGACAAATCCATCAGTAGTTACAAGACAATCCAAGAGTGGCTACGGCAGTTTCGGGAGCATCGTCGATTCAACAACCCACTGATGAGTGAGCGCATCGGGATATCCCTTTTTGTGAACCATCCAGAAGCCGCAACCGAAATGAGAGACCACGGCAATCAACACATTCAACAACTGTCTGTTGACTTTATGCAAGCCTTTCTCCGCTCTGACCTCATTCCAAAGCTTGCCGCCAAGGAACATGTTTCCGTCGAGGAATTCTTACAGTCGAATGGTTTAAAGAATATTTGCTGCAACACCACTCACCGTTGGTTGACATTCCTTGGATTTAAGAGGAGCCTATACAAGAAGGGCTTTTATACAGACATTCATGAGAGACCTGACGTTGTCTCTTCAAGGATAGAGTATTGTATCGAATTGATGAAGTTAGAGTTACACTCTGCTGTTTGGGTTCAGCTGCTCCCATTCAGAGTACAAGAACTGAAAGAGACCAATCGAATCTACCCCAACAATGATGGCGTTCCTGTCCTCCGTCAAGGCCAAACCTTATTTGAATTTCATGTTGACGATATTGTGGACTCTCATAATCTTCCGGAGCTCCAAGGAAATCTGTTTGGAGGCAACTACAGCCTTCGACTGTCTGCCAATGCCAGCCGTACAATTGTTTGGGGGCAAGATGAAGTTGTGTCGAATGAGAAGGCAATGAATTCGATGGCGTGGTATGGGTCAGAGGGACAACAAGGGCTCCGACCCAAGGACCTTGGTTGCTCTATCATGATATCTGGAGTGGTTAGCAGGGAGGCAGGCTGGATGCCTATTCCAACACCAGAACAGCTACGATTGATTAATGCAAACAGAGCTGGCAAAGACTATTTTGCTAGAGATGCGGCCATTGCTGTCCAAGGCAGCGCTGCCAAGCGTCCCTTCACAGAAAAGGATATCCAGAGTCGTTGCTGCCGGTGGCCTCTCCACCCAGGACAGAACAATGAAGGCTACTGGACAAACTACCACACAATCGTCCAGCTCGAAAATATCGCAGATATGGCTGCTATCATGTACCCTCACCACAACCATGTTATATGTTACGACCACAGCCAAGGACACACAGCAAAGCGGAAGGATGGTTTGGACGCATCTCGTCTCAACAAAGAGCCTGGTGGGCAGCAACCAAAGATGCATGAAACCACTCTGACGGAAGGCTGCCTTGGTCCTTTTGACAACAACGGATGTAGACTTGCTGTTGGTGCGGTCCAGCGATGTGTATTTTCAGAGGACGATCAAGGCCCAAGTTGGATGTCCTCCGAACAGCAATCTACAACCAAATATGACCAAGAGTTCGAGGGTGAAACTGTGACGAGAGCTCTACGGTCTAAAAAAGAAATCCACGCTCACCTGATTCACAAGCTTGGAACCAACACTGCCGGGCTTCCGTCTGATCCCTCACGCACTTCCCTAGCGTTCCTCCGAGACGTTGCCAATCAACACGGCATAGATCTATCCGTTGAGGAAGTCAAGAAGCAAAAAGGATGGGTCAACACTCCAAAAGGAGCTCTGCAAATGTGCATTGAGAGAGGCTTGGTTGACTTGGAGCTTGTGAAGAGACGAAAAGGGCACTACACGATGCCTGGGAGGAAAGATGCCGAAGGCAAGTTGATCGAGGGAACAAGCCTCCGCATGCTGCTCCAAGGATGCGATGATTTCAAGAAGGAAATCTCTATGCTAGAGTGGGTAGCCAAGCAGTATGGATGGCGAGTTATCTTCTCTCCAAAGTGCCATCCAGAAATCGCCGGTGTTGGCATTGAATACGTGTGGTCAGTGTCAAAGAACTGCCTTGTTCGGATCCCATTGCCGCAACGAAAAGGAAAGGATCGCTTCACGAAGCAAGTCTTGGATGTGTGCTTCCACAGTGAGAAGACGCTGACGAAACAAACGGTGCGAGGCTGTGCACGGAAGGCGCGACAGTTTGTAATTGCTTATTTGCTTTTGCACGCAGTCGAAGCAGCCAGAGACGAAGGAACCGGCGGCACAAAGCCGCTCACTGGAGAGGTGTCGATTGAGACGATGCGAAAAAAGCAATCCGAGCTGAAGTTTGCGACGATACGAGCAGCCCAGAAAATGTATAAGCGGCACCGAGGTATCGCCATGTTTGATCACGAAGAGGAGAAGATATCATTCACTAGCAGCGAGAGTATCGAAGACTGGATGAGAAAGGAACAAAAGAAGAGTGCTTAAGTATGAGGGTATTGTCTAGCTATGGATACTGCTAGTCTTGTTTTCGGTTGAGTTGTTGCCGTCGGCCTATCCTATATAGTGTAACAAACGAGTAAGTCTTGTACCAACGTCATTCTGTGCTAGTCGTAGCAATGAGTTGCCGGCTTGCTTTTCGACTAGGCAATGGCTTCACGCTTCGATTGGTCGGCATGAATAAGAGCAGGACGGAAAAGCTTTGCAACGCGTCTGTTCTCACGGTGGAACGGCATTGTAACTTGGAGCTTCGTAATGGCAAAGCTTCCCACAAACGTTACAACGTCAACCAAGGCTCTCTGCGGTCCATGAGCACCATTCATCGTCTGAACGGCTCTTGTTTTGTTAATACTCCAGTCGGCTAGAGGCGGCAAATACAAATGAGAGACGGTGGAGTCACAACCTCCATTCACTTGAAGCCGAAACTGACAAGATGAGCTCCGCAACTTCTGAAAGGTGCCCTGACCAGCCACAGCCTTGCCGGAGCCATCAGCCATCCAATAGTATACATTGCACTGGAAGACCATTGCAACACCATGTCCATCCCCAGCATCAGCCATGACAGGATCCCAGAGCTGATTCATGTTGCACTTGTTGTTGTTGAAGCAGAGAGGAATTGTGGCTTATTGGCTGTCGTCGTCGGTGGCTGTTGGCTGTCGTCGTCGGTGGCTGTTGGCTGTCGTCGTCGGTGGCTGTTGGCTGTCGTCGGTGGCTATTGGCTGTTGTGCCGTCGGTGGCTGTTGGCTGTCGTGCCGTCGGTGGCTGTCGGTGGCTCCTGAACTGTTGCTGTTGGTGGAATTGTGGGCTGTCGGTGGATTGGATGTCGAGTGGATGTCGAGTGCGTCGAGTCCTTCACTCCAAAGCCGCGGCAAAATTCAAATTCAAATCGGTCGTCGTGAGAGGATCAGTCGTCGTGAGAGGATCTCATAATCTCCTTGCCAAGCAATCTCCTCGACCAATCAACCAAACCAAATCAACTCATCATGGTCAGCAACAAGTCCTATCGTCTTCCATCCGCCGACAAGGTTGGTTACAGTGAAATGAAGAGGCTCACCCGTCGCATCAATGAAGCTCTTTTTGATGACAATGATGGAGCTCTTTCCAACCACATCTTCATCCATCACGACCCATTCTCCCAGAGTGAGTTGGATGAGGTCATGACCTTCATCAGCGGCCATGCTATTGTCACCTCTGTCAAGTACACCATGGACACCATTGAGGCCACCACTGAAGACGGTCGCAAGGTCAACATCACTCTCTTTTTTGGTGGCATCAGTTTCAACCGCAAGATCATGGAAGCCAAGAAGGAAGCCAAGAAGAGAGCTCCTCGAGAGTCTATTGAATCAACTGACTCCACGGACTCTGCTTTCGGAGACGGAGCCTTTGAGGATGTCACTGGTCAAGGGTTGACACAAGTCGTTGATATGTTCGCTCCTGTCGCTGTTCCTGCCACTGCCGCCAAAGGATTGGATGCTCTTTTGGAAGACCTCGACCTCGACGATGAGTAAACGAACGACGACGCCATCCAATAGCACCCACTGAAGAGTACAGTCGTAGACCGCCACAGAGTGTGGCCTCCTATTGCGGACGTCGTTACATGAGGAAGAGGAAAGAGGAGGACGTCATGGTGTTGTGCTCTTCGATAGCAGATCTGCTGTTACGGAGGAATGAAAAAGAAAGAATAATAATAATAATATAGGTGTCCTTAATGAATTTGAGTGGTGTCGTTAAATAAACCATTGTTCTTCCTGCGTCAGCATGCGAGCCGGCAATGCTGGTACTAATTCCTGTTAAGCCTACGGCAGTTTTGATCTCACCGCAGGAGCCATACCTACGGTACAAGTATTGAAGCTTCCGGTACCGTTACCGTACGCAATAAAACGGGGCTGTAGGGCTTGTAGGCTTGTAGGGATACAAGCTGAATGATCGCCATTGGCTTACTTCCCTCCACCTCATCTCCTTTACTTAACAGCTCTTGAAGCGCTACCGTGGCAGCTTACAACAAACTAAAACTGCTCCTCCGAGTACTAGCTAGAGTAGGATTCAAGTCCGTAATGACTTACAAATACAGCTTGACAAAATGTCATTCTACTCTGAAACATTTAATAAACGAACGCCAATTTTCGTATTATTGCCCTTGTGATCGAGTCAAAACATTTTTCTTAAGGACCCCGACTGTCGCAGACATAGAAGCTGGTCTGCGAACGACTAATGACAGCAACAGCTGTTGCAAAATAGATGTGAAGGCTCAAACGTGGAGGATCAGAGGTGTTCCAGAAATTAAAACGAGTACCGCCTCCTTTTCGTTCAGTCAGATGGGTTTGAAGTTTGAAGGCTTTGGCATCAGGTCCTGGATACCGGTACACTAATCGGGCCAGTAATCATCCCTCTGCAAGTACCAGCTAGCCAGTAGTGTTGCAGGCACTCAACTCACAGGTCAATGCGACGGAATTGTGTGCTATGAAGGACAAACTATCTTGGTACCGGTAGCGGGGCCTGGTGGGCTACTTGTAGGCAGCAATTCCATGCCGGTGCCTTTCATTCTTCCTGTTCGGTATATTCTGATAGAAGGTTGTCTGGTGGCTGCGGATACCACGTGGAAAGCCCAGGTACCGGTACAATGTACCACCTGGTACTGGTTGGTTCGCACCTAGCTAGCTAGCTATTAGCTAGCCTTCTCCAGGACTGCTCAGATCCGTTTTCAACACGAACGGTACCGGTACCGATACACTGCACTTACCCGTGATTAACGGGCCAGTTGCTGCCAGCTCAATTCAGAGCCGTACCTTCAACATATTCCAAAGGCCCTTGAAGGTGTTCCAAATTTTGCCACAACACATGGCTTTTACTTTGTAAAAAGCAATGCCAAAGCATTCGAAAAAAGCGTTTGCTAAGGTCTGATAGGATGCTTGGTGTGGCCACGTTTGTCCGAAAGAACTCTGGAAGGGCTTCTTGGACAGCTCAGACCCAGCTGGCAACCACCACGTCCATCATTCATTGCTGCCCAGCCACAAGAGACAAGGAACACTTCTCGCTATTTCAGCTGGCCAGCTGCATCGCTGGCGAGAAGCCTTGATGGTTGAGTCTTCTCCCGCCACAATCAATTTGGAGCTCACAAACCAACTCTCTCCGCTTGGAAAAGTTATCAAAACAATTTCAACCCGAAAAACAGACGGACCAACAGAGGTGTTGACTGTCTTTTTTTCTCCCCAGCTTACTTACCCCGCACAATCAATCAATCAATACCAAGATGGCCTCTGTTACTTCTTCTGCTTCTGACAAACTCCCTGGTCTCCGCCGGAGCAGTACCAATGGGAGTACGACTAGTTATTGCGATGCCCTTTCTCGCTTTGACCAACAAACCGAAGAATTGAAAAAGCTTTTGGATGACGGAGACGCGGTGTCCACCACGAGCGTCTGTGAAGACGATGAAGAAGACTACAGCAGTGACGAAGAAGAAGACAGCGATTGCTCGGACTACGATTCCTCCGATGACGACGATGACAGTGACGATGACAGCGATTGGGACAGCGACTACGAAGACTTGGAAGCGGTTTTGTCCGGAGCTCCACCCAAAAAGGTCCTCTCGTCTCCCGCCTTGAGTGCCATGGACACTAGCCTCCCAAACGCACAAGAGAATGTCTTGCCCGGTTTCATGAACCTCAAGGATCGCATGCGTCGTTCCTCCACCAGCTACTTGCAGTCTCCCGAGTTCACGAGCCGCGCAGAGCCCGAAACCATTGAGAATCCTTACGCGACCACTCGTCCCGACGATCACTTGAAGGTTATTTTGGAAGGATTCTCGGCCGCCCGCTTTCCCAGTGAAACTTGGCACGATTACTTTTTGAAAATGACAGACAAGCACATTGAAGCGCACACCACGGAAGTGGAACAGGCCATTCGTGGCGAAGACTACGATAGTCTGCGAGCCATGCTGCGCGATGGACACACCTTGCAGACATGCAACAAACACGGGGAATCCATCATTCACATTGCCTGTCGTCGTGGCTCCCTGCAGTTGCTCGAATTCCTCTTGGAGGATGCCCAAATTGACATGCGCATTCGCGATGACATGGGCCGCACGCCCCTTCACGATGCCTGCTGGACGCATCATCCCAACTTTGATGTCATCATGTTGTTGCTCGAGACATCGCCCGAGCTGCTATTCATTGTGGATTCACGCGGATTCACGCCCTTGACGTATGTTCCACGAGAAGCGTGGGGGGCTTGGTGTGAGTGGTTGCAAGAACACCGCATGTTCTTGCGAGACATGGTCAAGACCCTTCGCTGGGATCGGGCTCGCTACTTTGTCAAGACCATGGTGCCTTGTTTGAAATTCTAAATGAACAAGAGTTCAGCAATTCTTTGAACTGGTTCTGTCCCAAGGTCCTAAAGCACCTTCCTGGCTGGTTGTCTGCGGCAGGCAACCAGCCAGCCAAGCCCCATCACCACTCTTGTCTGTTTGTTTGATTGATTGATGCATATTATTACGAAAGTTGGAGATGGCACCGCGTCTTGAGGTCAGACGCGGTCCACTCTTCAACACTGCCATCCCTATGCATCCAACCGATGCTTCTTCTTCTTCACTCGGCTTCTTCACTACACTTGTGAAATGGCTGCATCAGGTATACTACTATGATACTACTAGCACTGCTTCTACATACATTACTACTAGCTATGCATTACAACAACGCTGTCTATCTCCCCATGTGTTTTCTCGTGCGGTACCCAAGCTGGCTAGCCCCTCCTCATCTGCAGACGTGGTGCCCTACATTGCAATCTCCTTGCAGGATCTGCATTTTTCTTGTACCAGTATTTCTCGCTGCGCTCTAGGACTGCGAGCAAAGCATCAAAAGACAGACACGGCATCGCGAGCTGGTTTCAGCCAACTGCCAGGCAGGGCAAATAGCTAATCGTTGAAGCTTACTGGGTTTGTTGCTTTGCTTGTAGCCCCACCTCCCATACGGGTCTTTTGGAGGGAGGCAGTTGTGTTTGTTTGCCAGTCGACAGTGGTCAAGTCGAAAAGATTGCGACGGCGTTGCCCCACCCCCAGTCCCATTTCTGACTTCCGGTGTATCTTTTCCCCTTCCGCTCCGCAACCAATCAACTCCCTCATCAAGAATGGCCCCAGTCAATCCATCAAGGCGTCAACGCATCCAGGTATCCAGGTGATGACTTCAATTGGCAATGTTGTCTCCACCGCCCTTCTTCCAGTCAGCTTGCACCGCACACTCAAAACTCTCTGGAAACGCTCTATGTTGCATTCCTAACCCTTGCTCGTCTTCAACAACTCTGCTAGCTGGCTAAAATAGCATTATTATTGCAGTATTTCAATCGGGTCTTTTTGGATCTTCAAAGATCTTCCTTCTCCTTCCACCGGAGATTGATTCGATTCCAAACCAGAGCCGCCGAAGATGATGGCAAATGCGATTTGACACTGCATCATCGTCTACTCATACGATACAATCGGGGTTGCTCTTACAACTTTGCTATGGCCGACTTTGATCACACAACACGGCCAAAGGATCATGCAGTTCACTAGTGGAGTATGGCTCCGTTTGGGGCTTGGCATGGAAAGAAAAAGAGCATTGCGAATTCTTCATGGCAGAGAGCTCTTGCAACGGGGGAGAGACGTCCGCCTTCCTCAGAGAGCTCTCTTCGGCTCTGCCAGTTCCTGTAGAGGACTCTTTGGTGGAATGGGTCTTTGGCAGGATCCTCATGGCAATCCAAAAAGGATGAATGTTCCATCTTTCCCTCGCCACTTGCACTTTTCCACTACACCCACATCATGTTCTCCTCCTCCGTATGTTTCTTCTTCTGTCTCCGCCGACTTGGCTCGCATGATGATACCGTCCGATGCCAACATTGCTGGCAATGTCCATGGTGGGACCATTATGAAGCTCATGGAAGAAGCCGCCGGAGTGGCTGCCAATCGATACTTTAATAATCATTTGTCTCCCCGAACAACGGATCGTGTCTGCGCCTTGACCTCTCGCGTCGAACGCATGACCTTTCAACATCCCGTTCATGTGGGAGATGTCGCCAAGGTCCATGCGGCGGTGGTCTTTGCGTCGAATCATACCGTGGCGGTCTCGGTGCAAGTCACAGCCGAACGCATGGCCTGGTCGACGGCTACGACAAGCAGTAGCAGTCAGAACATGGGTGGCGATCCCCGACAAGCCGACACCATTTGCAACCGAGCATTGCTTTGGTTGGTGGGAGTGGTGTTACCGTTGGATGACACGACGACCGTGCACCAGCTTAATCCAAAACTATATCCCCGTGCCTTGGCGCCATCCTTTCAGGTTCCAGAGCAAAATACGGAGGGATACAAGGCGTACCAGTGGGCCGCCCAGGCATACAAGAGGAGAAAGAAAACAATGGTGATGATCGCAGAGGGAGAAATAGAGAAATCAGGCACAAAGGGAAATGCCAACCAAGTGGTTGCGGCCGAAAGTATAATCAACGACGACAACGACGCGCTTGATTCTTTCACTCCCGACGACAGCGCCGTGGAACTGGTCCAGCTCATGTTGCCGGAAGACTGCACCACCAACACTGGATTGGTCGGAGGTGGCGTCGTCATGAAACTCATGGACAATGCCTGTGGTGTAGCGGCGGCCCGTCACTGTGGAACCAACATTGTCACCGTGGCGGTGGATTGCGTCAATTTGGAGGCACCCGTCTTGCTGGGGGACGTCATCAAGGTCAAGGCACGGCCGACATTTGCCTCGGACAAGTCGTTGGAACTCGAGGTCTCGGTGGCGGCAGAACGATTCGAGTATGATGACGAACAGGGTCGGTTGGTGCGACGCGAGATTGTCACGACGCGCCAAGCCTATTTCACCTTTGTGAGTTTGCCACGGCATGGGGGACAAGCCTCTCTTCCCATGCGACCATTAAAGGTCGAGACTAGCGAGGATATGACCAAGTTTGCCGCGGGAAAGAGACGCTACGAACAACGCAAGGCACGGCGACAAGAGCGAAAAGGGAAATCGTCCTGGTCCGAATTAGACAAGCTTTAGTCTGGCTGGTAGCTAGAGCCTTCGTTAGACGATATTAGTAAAACGATCAAGGAATCAAACTCGATGGTGGACATCGTGAAAAGGTGACACTGAAGCAGAAGCGTCAGGCAATTGCATATTGGCGTCTCTTCGTTGTTTGTTTTTGGAAAACAGTAGCCAAAACAACATGGTCCAGTCTTCTTCATTACACCGATGACCAACAATCGCAGCACGAGCACTCAATTTCGGCACAATCAATTCTGGTGGCGTGGATAGTCTGCTCGCAAAAAAAGTCTGGCACAGTTCCAGAGAGTCCAGCGTTTTCTCCAATGTACAACTCAGCCAAGTCGGGGAGGAGAAAGAGTTCCTCTGGAAGGGGGCCCACCAAGAAATTCTCTTCAAGATCCAAATAGGCAAGGGAAGATAGCAATCCAAGTTCACTTGGAATATTCCCCAGGAGATAGTTAGTCCAAACGTCTAACCGTTCCAGTGCTGTCAGCAAACCAAAAGTGGTTGGGATAGTTCCCCGCAAGTAGGCAAACGAGAAATCGGCGTATTGTAGATTGGAAAGCAGATGAATGTCATTTGGAATGGTCCCACCCAGCACAACCACAGCGACGTGAAGCTCCAGAAGATTTGGTGGCAACATGGAGGTTTTTGGGAGGCTCACGTTCGCATTCCCACTCAACATTAGAATCTCCAGACGCCCCAAGCGGCCAAGTTCAGTTGGTAACAGCCCCTCAAATTGATTCCAATCCAATCGTAACGTTGTCTGTGCGGGACGACAACGAAGAACCTTGAGTTTTCTGTTTCCCACCAAATCCGATTGTCAGCGTTTCTGGCCAGCTGTCATTCAACTTACCAGTTGACCAAGATTTCCCAACGAGGGGATTGAGCCAGAAAGCAGGTTATCATTGAGATCAAGGTGACTTAAGAAGCCAAGCCCATTGATTTCGTTTGGCAGAGTCCCACTGAGTGCATTCAGAAAAATTTCCATGCGACGAAGGCCTGCCAGAGATCCAATTGCTGATGGGATGGAGCCTTGCAGTGAATTGGAGTGCAATAGCAAAGTTTCCAAACGACGCCATGCCCCAATCTCGCTGGGGATTTTACCAGACAGCCCACATTCAAAAGCTTCAAAACTCAGCAAATTTGAAAGAAGTCCAACTTGTGATGGCAAGGTTCCATTGATGTGAGTTGCACCCAGTTTCAAAACCTCCAAACGAGAGCTGAATCCAATATCAGAAGGCAACGACCCAGTAAGGGGGTTGGCAGCCAGGACAAGTGTTTCCAATCTCGAGATCGAAAAAAGCTCTGACGGAATGCTACCAGAGATACTGTTGTGCTCGGCCCAAAGAGTTCTTAGGCTATGCCAATGTCAACGCCATGAGCAAAGAGATTGCCGAGAAAAGAAAGAAAACAGCGGGTCCAAAACATACCTTTCCAAGAGACCCAACTCGCTAGGCAGGGTTGAACTGAAATCATTGTTTTGCAGTTCCATTGACCTCAGCAACGTCAGCTTTCCGATTTCCTCACGCACTGGTCCACTGAATCGGCTATTTGCCAGGTTGAGCTCATGTAACTGGATTAGATTGAATACTTCGGTCGGAAGTGAGCCAGTTAGGTCTGTACCCGCCAAGCCCAAAGTCAACATTCGTGTCAGCAAACCCAATTCGCTTGGGAGATTTCCCGAAAAGCGGCAGTCGCTGAGACCAAGATCAGCAAGTTTTTGAAGGCTACCAATCTCAGAGGGCAGGGTGCCGCTGAGTACATTCTTGTGGAGACTCAGCTGGGCCAGTTCCCTTGCACTCGCAATTTCTGTCGGTAACGTGGAGCTGAAGATGTTGGAAGACAAGTCCAGAATGTTCAACTGGTTCAGCTTTCCCAGTTCAGAAGGAATAGGACCCTCCAGGATGTTACCTCTCAGCAGCAGCGATTTCAGTTGATCCAACTGTGAGACCTGAACAGCAATGGACCCGCTCAGGTCGTTATCAGCGAGCAAGAGGCCCTTCAGCTGCTGAAGACTTCCAATCTCCGAAGGAATTTCTCCACTCAGCTGGTTGTGGGACATGTCAATCAAAGTGAGGCTATCGGATAGAAGGCCAATTGTAGAAGGAATGGTACCTTCGAGGCTATTGTCGCGTAGATCCATCGATGCCACTGCTGCCAAGGCCATTTCTGGCGGGAGAGTTCCGCGCAAGAGATTTCCAGCCATGTTGAGGTCAAGCTCGCATGGATGCTGCTTGCTGGAATCGAGCCATGTACAGTGGTGATGTTCATATGACAACCAATTGGAGGAATCTGCCCACTGATCCCCGTTTGTGGAATAGTAAAAACAAGCCAAACCAAATCGTTCCAACTTTTCCGTCATTGATAGCGGCTGCAGCACTGTGTCGTTTGCTGCCCATTCCAGGGCTTGAGCCTGAGCCGAAGTTCGATCACCGACAATCACAGCCACAGTTTCGGGCGGAAGCAAATCCAAAGTGAACTCTACGGTGGGCGCTAGCGTGGGCGACATAGAAGGGGCGTAGGATGGACTTTGGGTCTCGATACTACTACTGTCGCCACCCTTGATACCCAATACCAGTCCCAAGATGAGCGCCAGCAAGCTCAAGAGGATGCAGGCAATGAATGCCATGCCCTTTGGTGTCTTCAAGAAATCCAAAACAATTTCAGCAGATTCGACAGGAGTGGCTTCGAAAACGAGGTGACGACTCGATTCTCCTGTCCATGCCAGATGTTTACTCGACTTGTCTGTAACAAGTTGTGCTTCAATCAATGGCTCTGCATGACTACCACCAACAGGGGTATTCACGCTATTGGTGGTTGACATTGTAGTTGTTCCAGGCTCCTCCTCATCTTCTGTGATTTGATTGTCGCCGAGTTCGACAGTATCCAGTGCTTCTGGAACAGAATCTGGAACAGAAAAAGAAACGCTTTGACCTCGGGAGTAGCCGCTGGCGTCGTTATCGACGCTCGCTTGTGTGGATGCGTCTGACGCGGTGACCGAGTGTGCCAATCGTTTGCGCATTTCTTGGACTGCCCTGGATTCATCCGACATCAGATCTGTTCCATTACCCTCGGATGCAGCGCTGCAAGTGGATTGTCGTACGTCAGGCGTTTCATTCCCTTCCTCGTCATCGTCATCACTCGAGGAAACAGAGATATCGTATATCGCTGACTGTACACTATCTCTGTTTACGACGGAGAAACGCAAAGATTGGTTACGGCTCATGCGTTCCCCCGGGGCCTTGCTGTATGCACCTGGGCGTTGTCCGGATGCTGCCGAGTCTCTGGCTGGTTTGCTATCGGTGGTGGGGACAGTGGATGACACAGTTTCTTCCTGCTTCTCTTCCTCTTCTCCTGAGGCTGGTGGGGGAGAAAACTCGCTGGAAGTGGTGGCCATATAATTGGGTCTCCGGACACCACTGAGGGAAGACGCCCCGTGTTCCTCATATCTTGAGAGCGTAACGCCGGCATCTTGTCGGATCTTCTGCCGCTCAAGATCTTCGGCTTCCAACGAGGAGCATCTGGTGGAGTCATGATCTCCAGATTTAGAAGCATTAGTCTGCGAGGAGCGTGGATGAGGGGATAAGCCTTCATCTCCCTGGGTTGTGCTTCGTGATAATTTGCCATTTGCACTCTTGCGGCTCGTCTGTGACAGGCTTGGCTTGATCGCATCATCACCTTGGGTAGTTCCTCTGGGTAGCTTAGTAGAAGAGATTCTCTGTCGGGGAGGAGCAGGAGCCTCTGCAGGTTCCCCTTGACCCTCACATTCTTCCTTTTCTCTCCGAGCCAGTATTTTAATAATTTCATCTGGATCATCCAAAGTCATGTGCATGTAGGCGTCGTTGCTGACACTGGCAGCACATAGTGTCCCACAATCACTCTCTCGTCGATGTCTCTCTGCTCTCACCTGAGCTTCACGTTTCGCTCTTTCAACGTCTTCACTTGTGAACTTGGGATCAGGAGCGGCCTCAGCAGGCGGTTCAACTCCACCCTCACATTCTTCCTTTTCTTTCTGAGCCAGTATTTTAATAATTTCATCTGGATCGTCCAAAGTCATGTGCATGTAGGCTTCGTTGCTGACACTGGCGGCACATAGCGTCCCACAATCACTCTCTCGTCGAAGTTTCTCAGCTCTGGCCCGGGCTGCTCGTTGGGCCCTATCCATATCCTCACTTGTGAACTTGGGACTTGAGGATGACATTTTGGGGTTTCAGTATGGTCGTCTCGGAGTGGGCAGAGAGCAGAGAGGTTTCAAAAACTAAAAGAAGGCAAACAGAAGGCAAAAAGTCGAACTAGATCTAATAAGTCGATGGTATCTGCTCAAGTGATACTGGGGGCAAGTATTGTACACAACGAGGATGAAGCACTCGCTCCTTTCCTTGCATTGGTAAGCCGGAAACCAATTAATTTGACGCTTCTCTTGCAGCAGGTGTTCAGGTTAGGTGTTGATGCTCAGAGCCAATGTCATTGATGCTGTTGCTGTGCAGTGTTGCAGTGTCTGGTGTGGTACAGTAGGGGTCTTCAATGTTGCTCTTTCAGATCACTTTTTTGCCGTCTTTTCTGTCCCTTGTGGGGGAGCGTGGAAGGTTCTGAAAAGAAGGGGCGGAGAAGTCAAAAAGAAAGGGAAAAAACTTCTTTGAAAGAACACCTTTTTAGGTGTTCTTTCGCTCACAATTTTTCTTTTTTCACTCTTTCGGTCATTTTGAGAACTCGCAAAATATGTATTATTTAGAGGTAGGAGTCTCGAAGAACAGGCTAGTAACCTAAGGAATTAATGAAAGGAGTCATTGTTGCACTGACAGAAGCCTCATTTTGCTTGTGACGTATTCAACGGAAAGCACGACCTAACATGTTTACAAAGGCACCTCTCCGCTTCTCCTCAGACCCCATTCCTTCCCCTCTTCTGGCTCCCCCACAAGGGCCAGAAAAGACGGCAAAAAAGTGATCTGAAAGAGCAACATTGAAGACCCCTAGTGTACTAGATCCTGTCAAAGTTTTAACCCAACAAGAACATGACAAAATTTCCAAATAATAAAGAAGCGTGCCACTCCGATCGCGCTTCCTTCCATCCCTTTGTTGTTTCAGTGGATGGCATGCTTGCCCCCCAGGCCAGGACTCTCTTACAACGCCTTGCTTCTGCTACTGCCTCCAAAACTCAATTTTCCTACTCTCAAATGATGTTCTTCATGCAGACCCGTATCTCCATTGCCCTTGTGAAAGCTACCCATTTATGTATCCGTGGATCCCGCTAAGCCAAACCCTTTGCCCCCCGTAATAGTCCTGAACTTCGACTGTTCTTTGCTTTTGAAAGCCTGGCTCCGGCTGGCTTCCGTAGATAATTTCCCTACTCTAAAACCCCCTTGTACTAGTACCGCAGTAGTCGCGGTTCAGTAGAAAGGCATAAATAGACCCGTCTTCTGAAGAAGGTCAGACCGGTACCGGTACGATCTACGGTAGCGGCATGTACCGTAGCTAACCATTGGTACGCTAGCTAGTAGGACATACTCAGTAGGAGCTATCAATGCTATCATACAGCAGGCGAAGCCACAAGGCTGGTTGGCTGGGAATACTCGAGTGAATAGGATAGAGTGCTCCTTGTCCCGTGACTGACAAAGGAACCGGCCCGTTGCGGTATGTACGTGTAGGCACTTGACACTCGTCACGAGGAGCTGCTGAAGACGATAGATGACTCTCCATGGGTAGCCATGTTCATGGAGCAAAAAAGAGAAGAAGGGTAATCTTCGGCCACCTAGGCTAAGAGCTAAGCATGGAGCTGAGGCTTCGCTCGTGGTAGTGGGCATAGATGGATGCGGTAGGGCAGGTTTGTCCTTTGTCAAGAAGTTTGCTGCTGATCCCCGAACAAATTTTTTAAATATGATCTACTTTTGCCACACCAAAAGGCAACTGTGACCAAGCATCTTTCGTTTGCCAAGTCTCTTCGGGAGTCTTGGATGGAATAGGCACTAGCTAGTTGATACAGGTGTACCAGTTTTATATGTTGGGCTGATGGTGGACTGCCATCTAGCAACCATACAATTGATTCAAGAGACGTTTGCTTCCTTTCTTGCCTGCAAGCCTCCAAATGGGCACTCCAAACCACGTAGTGAAGCTTCGCGCGAAAAGGGCGCATGCACCTCTGCAGCCCCGATTCCTCACTTTTGTTCTTTTCTTGGATCGATCTATCTTTGTGTTGGTGTGCCTTCTAGCTCTAGCACCATAGGCACAGTCACAGGCCAGTCCACATGAGCTGATGTTGTAGGTCACTGAAAGTAGCTCTCGAGTAGCCCACAAGATATCGATTCAAGAACTTATCGCGTGAAGATCTCACAGTCTACCTGTATGGACGAAACGTGTGCCCGAGATACAGGTAGAAATCATGGCTGCACGTTGTTGGGGCCTTTGGTTTCAAAGGGATAGATTCGGTTCGGGGGCTTGATTTGGCAGCTTGTGCTGGCTTCTCTAATCGATGACCAATGACCTCATTCATGTCTCCTCTCCACTTTTTCAGGTGTTGTGATGGAGGCAGGAGCTGACACAAGCAGCGTGAGTTGCTGATGGTCCAAGTTCTATCAAAATCCAGGCGCCGAGGGAGGCTGTTACGTCAGACTAAAGGGAAGAAGGCATCGAAGGTGTCGGATGGTCGTGCTTGGGGGTTTCGCATTGGAGTTGTCTTCCTCTGTGTCGGCTTTTGCGTCTTGGTCTATCACGTGGGTATTTCGTTCGAAGCTGTCCAAAATTTCATGGGGGGAAATCTGCAACAGACGTCAGAACTGAATATTACTCAAACATCGGTGAGGATAAGAGAACCAACAGCTGAAGATTCGTCTATCAACCAAGGACAGCTTCATTCAACCAGCACAAAGAAAAACGTACAACAATCAGATATCGTCGCTTCTGCGACGCAACAAGAATTGACGAATCCACACAAGAACGAGGCTATTTCCAAGATAGATGCCAATTCTCCCTACGAGTACAGGTTTGCTCCCCAGGAGCTTCAAAAGATTGATTCTCCTTGGCCTAATTGGTCCAAGTGTGACCCTCAGTCAGCCTTTGAAACGGTTTGTCACCCTAGGCCAGCAACATGTACAGCAATCATTGATGGTGTCGTCAACAATCATGGAATTGGAAATGCATTGTTAACAACCTACCTCAAAGAAGCCTCTGAATCGTTGGAAAAACAACCAGATTGTGCCCCAATTATCAAGGACAAACCAGTTGGGAAACAAGATTTCAAGCCTGGTCAATTTGGCTTCAAATTATTGGATTATGTCCATGAGCCCACTGTGGTTGTCCAACCAAGCACCAAATGGCGGGATCAAAGTTCAAAATGCATCACATATGCCATTACGCAACCAAGAGAGGCAGTGTCTGAAAAGGTTCGGAGTATCAAAGAAAAGTACCAACAACATCCTGAAACATCCGGCAAGCAATATCCTCTTGTAGCCATTCAACTACGGACTGGCTGGAGTGATGAAATGCGAATCAATCAGCCTGGTTGGGATGCTTTGGGAACCTGCCAAGATTTTCTAGAGCAATTTCCAATAGAGATGTCTCATCATGCTGTGAGTGATGTGGCCTTGCAGGACATGCTATTGGATTCCGCGGCAGCAGCTGATCGTATTTTTGGAGGGACTCAGAAATGGAGATTGTATGTTGCCAGTGATGCCCCAGGGATTCGAAAGTATGTGCAACATCTCCTTCAATCGCGGGTGGTGGGTCCTGTTGTTTGGCATGAGGGGCACATTGGGCACAATTATGCAGGAGCAAGGGCAGCAGACTACAATCAAAAGGTAGAGACATCAGTCAGTGCCTTTACTGACTTGGTGATCATGAGCGAAGCTGACATGCTCGTCTCCCTCAGTTCCAAGTATCCTGCAGCTGCCAACCTGCGAGCTGGGGGTTGCCCCCAGCGATATACTCAGTTTCGAGGACATCCTAGACATGAATTGGCTGATTTAGGAAATGTCCTGCACGATGCATATCGCAAGGATCCCAACAGACCCCGCAACATTCACGAACAACAGTCTCCCGAAAACCGGTGGAGTCCATCTCTTGATGATGAGTCCAAGCAAAAGTTCTTTGAGAAGATTCCCGGTGGAATGGACAATCCCTGTACAAAGGCTGCAGATCCAATCCGGGCTTGTTTCTGCCTGATCAAGTTGAGCCACAAATAGGTCCTGGGTGAGTGGGAAAAGGATGGCTGACTGGTGTCTGTCTGTTGCATGGATGTGTCAACCTGCACAAAAGAGTCTCCAATGACTAGCTAGCTAAACAATACAGTAGCAACCACTAAATTTTGTTGTGGCGAACTCACTTGGGGCGCTAATTCTGACTCGGAAGGCAAGATAGGTCAGCGTTTGGCCTTGTGGTCAGTTCTCTGCCGTGGCTGCCACATAATTTGTCTGGTGTCCAATGGCTATCTGGCGCTGCAATAGTTCCACGCAAAGTCCATTGGTGGACATGGCTTGTCGATTTGATTCCTTGTGGGCGCCGGGGAATCCAAAACACCAAGCTTGCCAGCAGAGAGGACAAGATAACTATTCAATCTCGCACTCTCAATTTGTTTGCCATTTGGAAATCTAGTACCGGTAGGCGAGGGCAAAGCACGAGTAGGTAACAACTCCAGCATTACCCGTACAGCACCCACAGAGAGGTCGTAAAAACACAAATACCCGGTAAGTTCAAAGGACTATTTGTTATGGAAGCCAAGAGTATGCCTACCGTACCAGTATACAGTGTATGCTGTAGCTCACACAAAGTTCACCAATCGTGCAAAAGGCTGTGTTTGTGTCTTCATGTATCGGATGTTATATCTTATACATTCCCATATAATTCTCGACCGCGGGATCAGTATCCGTCGTGTAAAAAACGAGAAGCCCCCGAAAGATATCTGAAACACACTGGGACTGGAGCTTGCCTCTCGACCAATCAAAACGGTTCTTTGCAGATCCAAACCTCCGACTGCTGCCAGGCTCGCTCTCAGCTTTGTGCTTTCCTGTCGTTTTGGAGGAATTGGTAGGAAATGAACGGAGCTGCTACGTGCGAGGTGGTCTCGGAGCAACCTTTGGCAGCTCAATCCTCGATTTCATCACTCTTCATTTCTCCTCATAATTTGAGATCGATGAACTTCATCAAGGAAGCAATTCAATTCGTCTGGCAACTTTTATTATCTTTTCAATCCTCACATCCACCATGACCATGACGAAATCAGCCGCCGCCGAACCTTCCAAGGAACCCGCCAAGGACGCACCTGCCGCCGGAGAAGAAGCCACTCCCAAGTCCCCTGCCAAGGAAGCCACCGTCGATCCGACCACCAAGAAGCGTTCTAGCCCCACACCTGCCGAGGAGGGTGCTCCCGACTCCAAGAAGGCCGCCATGGATGAGAAGAAGACGGAAGAAGCCGAGAAGACTGATGGAGACAAGAAGGCCGAAGCTACTCCCGAGCAGAAGGATGACTCCACCAAGACCGAAGACCCTACCGACATGAAGACCGATGGCGACGACGCCAAGAAGACCGATGGCGATAGCGCCGACAAGAAGACCGAGGGCGACGACGCCAAGAAGACCGATGACGCCAAGACCGAATCTGCTCCCGCAGAGAAGGCCGATGGCGCCGACAAGGAGTCCGACTCCTCCAAGACCGACGCGAAGACTGATGGCGATGGCGCCGACAAGGAGTCCGACTCCTCCAAGACCGACGCGAAGACTGATGGCGATGGCGCCGACAAGAAGTCCGAGTCCGACAAGGTCCCCGACGAGAAGAAGGCTGTCGACAAGGCTGTTGATGTTGACAAGGCCAAGGAGGCCTGCTCCAAGGTTGCCGATCTGGTGAAGGAAGCCACCAACGACAAGCCTGTCTCCGCACAGTAAACGTGATTGAAATCCTTGTGGAGCGCGGCGTGACGACATTCTTTGTTGGAAGTCTTGAAGACGCCAATCACCGCGGCCGCACAAGTAAGTATGGAGCTATCACCACCTCTCCGACTCTGATCGCATTGGCTGCCATCACGAGTGGAACGAGGATGCTTTGAAGTCAATATGCCACGACCCATTATCTCATCCGAGTTTGAGCAAACCTGGCGACCATGACCATCCATTGAATGAATGGATCGCAAAGCAAATAGCCTAACTAAAAGTAAAAAAACATCTATGTGAAATGTCTAGCTAGCTACGTCGCCTTCTTTCTCCTCGCTCTCGCTCTCATTGCGACAGCATTAGATAGCACGCCGTCTTCCTTTCTACCGGTATGTACGACTGCATTGTATCCATGGACGCCTCTTCGGAAGAGCAGCGTTCGGTTAACGATCGGTCCCGCAACATCAACATGCTTTTGCGTGATATTACTAGTACTCCGTACAGATCTGTAGATGACTTCTCGGTAGCAATGTGGCCACAGCGGGACTAGGCGATCCAAGCCGGACGGTGTGCTATGAAGTTGCTGGTGTGGTAGGGGAGCATTCGTAGCTACCGGTACGTCTATAGCAAGGGCTTGGTGGCAGAGGTAACGTCAGCGCGATTGCCATTTCTGGAAGAGACTTGTCGGCATTTGCGCAGACCTCAGTGCCAGCTACCGAATGCCCCTACGGTACTGCACTGATGATTTGATGATGGTACTTCAGTTAGTTAACTATACGCAAACGCAGAAATCTACTGGTGCTCTAACGACTGTGTGAAGAGGTTAGCTGTGCTTGGAGAGTTTGTTGCCACATTGCATGCTCCACAATAGTAGGAGCTTCGCGAGAACTCGATGCAGGAAATACTCAACCCGAGCTTGCTTCCGCCAGCCTAATCGAACAAGCCTAAGCTGCTTATGGTACCGGTAAATTAGAGCAAAGAAGCTACCAGTACCACTACTTCAGCAAAAACTTGGCGTGGACTGTCACACTCCCAGCGCCAAATTTTCCTCTTGCCTTCACAAGACCTGCCTCCGCACCGGCTCCAAACGACTAAAAAATGAGGCCCAGAATCTCACAGTTGCTTCCAACACGGTCCTTAAAGCATTGAGTACCGGATTTGTTGTTACTGTGAGCTTTATTGTACGTATGTTCCTCCACCCCACCAAATTTGGCCGTCACATTTTTGAAGGTTCTCGCCCTTGGCTGTTGTTTGAATCCGACTCTCGTCAAGTTCTTTGCAACACATGTTAAAAAGAAAGATCAGAAAGTAGTTTCAGGAGCGCCAATGGTCAAGAAATAAGCACCACTATCCGAAAAACTGAACAGAAAAGCAAGCGAGAAGCAACATGCGGTGGCATAGAGGGAGTCATGCGATAGTGCTGGTTCTCGCAATCTGCAGCACATTTGCTCAGATGCAAGAGTATCGTGATTATAAAGTGAACAGTGGGCAAGCAAAACAGGGCATATCTGACCTAGACAGGGGAGAGGAGACCAGTGAAAGCGTCCGCAGAGAATTGGGTTTCTTTGTCAGCAGAGGTAATGCCAGGGTATCAAGAGGGAGCGGACAGGCTCGAGGGCCTTCCCTGCCAAATATTAACAGAAGCAGGGACCCGCTAGAGGAAGGGATGTGGACACGTAAGCGCGTGGATATGATCCGATCAAGTTCCGGTGCAAGGCCTACCGTTGCTCCCGTTGTGACATCTTCGCCAACGCCATCCGCAACAACGCCAACTACCGACGGTGATTCAGATTCCACAGGGGGATCTTCCGCTCCTGCCACTGCTGAACCAGGCTCAACGGCTGCTCCGGGATCAACCCCTGCTCCGACGGGAGCTACCACATCTTCAACGAATACGACAACCACTCCTGCGACAACCACGCCAACCACGGCCACAAATGGCACCACGACAGCGCCCGGAAACACCACGACAATGAATCCGACCGTGGCTGCAACTGCACCTGACCCACTACAAGCGGTTCGTCGCAGTTATCAATACGCGATGATGAAACCTCGAGGAGGCCATGTGCCATGTATTGGAGGAACGCAAGACTTGAGGTTTGCGGTCGATATCCAAGTGAACTTCCCCAACCACAGGTTCATGGCATGTTCTGGAGGACAATTTCAAGCAGTGACAACTGTAGTCCAAGCAACTCTGAATTCAGCATTTCCTAGCACTATCCCAAGTTGGCCTGACCGTGTCGAGTTCAAGAAGTTTGAGTTTGACGTAAATCAGTTCTCGCTCCATGTCAACCCGTATCCAGGGGACAGCAACCAGCGCCATTTGATTCGAAGCAACCAGAACTTTACCTACGAGCAAGTGGACCAAAGCTACCAGAACTATACCTATCAGCAAGTGGAGGACGGGAGGGGCCGAAAGCTTCAAGACCAAGGAGGATGCCCACGCAAGCCGACCGTCTGTGAAGATACCACAGATTTATGCATATACGGGTGTGGCTTGGCTTCCATCACAAAATGCGGGGACCTTTCGTTATGGGAAGACCTGGGATCATCGCTTTCATCTTCTCTTTCTGCGTTGCATTTGGACTGTTTGGGAGGAAGCCAACCAACAGTCGCGGAAGTGTTTGTCTTCTCTCCGTAGTGGGAACACGTGTTATCTGGAGAACCACATCTTACTACCTTGTACTAACTATATAGAATCCGAGAATCACTCTATGGCGCCCAGGTACCAATGCGATCACAGCGCATTTTACCGGCAGGACTACTCGACGTCTCGTTGGATGGTGGCTTCCCAGAAAGTAGGCCTGGGGTGGTAGGATTGACTCCCAAAGCACACAGATAATCACATCTCAAGGGCTCAAAGACAATGAGATGCGGTTTCCTTTTCCCCCTCCAGGTTTGCTTCCCTCCAAGGTTACGCTTTAGCTTGGTGCGGTTGCTGCCACGGAGCATTTTCCGTACGTACGAACCTGTAGTACTGAAGCAAGCCATCGTACAAAAAATTCTTAAGTGTTACTAGCTATTTTTCCGAACCGAAGCCACGTCAAGCTTCCCAATCTTCTCATCAGATGTACAGTAGTGTTGATGAGAGCTTTCCCACTTGCATGGTTGCTCTGTTTCGATGTACGGCAGGGGACGGATGGCCATTGCGGCACGTACATGTACTGTAGTCTACGCCACTGGCTGAAGCTCTGGAGGAAGGAAAGGATCATCATCTACTATGTCGCTTGATTCACCATTTACCTCATCATCTTGGTCCATCTTCTTTGTTGTTGTAGCCAGCTGTTTTCTCTTTTTCTGTTTCCTCTGTTTCGTTTCAGCTTCCTCCGTTGTTGGACGAAAGACTTGATCGGATCCCTCCACACTGGGTGGTTCTCGGTGCAACTTGCATCCCTCGATCAGTTCCAATTGACCATTGTCGTACATTGTCAGGAGTTCTTGTTGCGAAATGATTGGTTCCAAGGATAGAAACCAATAGGAATAAAAGGGAGAATTGCGGCTTCCCAAGTGTAGATTCTTGTGTTTTCGTTTCTTCGTAGTAGTATCGTTATTGTTGTTGTCATCTCGACGACGGCCCTCGGGTGTCCAATAGTGATAACGTGACGGAGGCGTCAGATAGACACACCGTCGTGCAAAGGATTGAAAGGCAGGGCGCTGGGAAAAGTGACTGGGTAATAGCAACAGGAACGGTTGTTGGTGTTGTTGTTCCAAAAACTGAAGGAGACGATCGAAATGATCTCCCGAATAGGGTGGATTGGTAACGAGCACGTCATGTTCGGGAACTCGATGTTCGGCAATGACTTGATAGAAATCGTCGGGTTGATTGTACACGTGATGAAATCCCAGAGCCTTAAGGTGTTTGGCAGTGCCACCGGCACAGTAGTAGCCATCGTAGATTTTGATTTCTCCTTTTTTTCTCTTCAGTCTCGCCTCTAGCAACTGCAGCAAGGGCACAATATGCTGGAAGGCCGTGGGACTGGTTTCACAGTGATCGTCAGGATCGGCTGTAAAGGGGAGTGATGTCTTGCCTCGTGCCAGCAGTTTCTTGCGTTTCTTCTTGTCCGCTTTCAAAAGTTGCTGTCGCTGACTCTTGCTCATTTGTTGCCATTCCGATTTGAAATCTTCATCATATGCTGCCCTTTTGGGGTTCAGTCTGTCGGCTATGGAAGCCCATCGAGACGAAACCGTAGAACTGCTGACTGAGGAAGAGGAGGACATGGCTCTGCAAATGGTTGACTGGGGCGACTAGCTGCAGTAGAAAGGGAAGTGCCAAACGGTAGATCTTTTCGAATCAGACGAAAAGAGGGGAGGAGGATGTGCCACCAGTGCTGATCAACAACCTATAATGAATGTGGCTCCTTCCAAGCAAAGAGTATCAGTACGGTCAAGATGATGGTGACAGTATGGAGACGAAGATAGTGACGGTGGGTTGTGGGATGAGTGGATGGTGCCAAAAATAAAAATAGATGAGGCTGAACTAGCTAGCTACAGAACTCTTGCTATTCTTTCATAACATTATTATTGCTATTCATTCGACTCCTGCGGTATCAAACCGATCCGTGCGCTTATGCATACAAGAAGCATCGCTTTGGCTTCCAACAGCTATGGAGGCTAAGGAGCTGGCTGGGAGCTCTCGAGGACGAACACACTCTGGCTAGTAGAGAGACTACACTTGGAAACACAATTGCAATGTTCACTTACGTTCATCGAAAATCCCAAGACGTGAGGGAGGGCAAAATTTTTGGCCAACGCGGACATGACTCTTGTAGGATCCTCACTTCTTTCGTTTGAAAAATCTGGTGATTCGTTTTCTCGAAAGCCGGTACGAAGGGCCAGTGCCCTGAGCCAAATCCAGCTATCGACAACAACAAGACTTGCCGACAGCCTGCAAAAGTGCTTCGCTAACTAACTAGCTAGATTCAAGACAAGCAACGAACGAACAGATCGAGCAAAGACGAAACAGAAGAAAAATATCGAATGGACAGAGGCATTGGCAATGGCAAGAATATTATGCGGCTTGCGGCTGTTACTGCTGTCTCTCCTCTGCCGCACAATCTTAGCGGAAAGAGCTGGTCTTCGAGGAGATAGGAAGCAAGACAGTCCAAGTAGTGTAGCAGAGCAAGACAAGATGAAAGACAAAGAAGGGATACAACAACAAGAACAACGCGAACTCTTTTTTGCATCCAGCTACCAAACAAAGACACAAGTGAGGCGGCGGAGCCCTCGCACCAGAACCCACATTGCGCCACCGAGCACTACTACGACTACTACTTCTAGTAAAGCACAAAACAGGCCGGCCAATCCAAGAACACAAACAACACAACAAACAGGGGTATGGATGGGAACCAGTACGCGTCGTCGTCAAAGACGCCCAGTACGAGCCAGCACGGGGTACACGCGAGACTCGAGACCTGCAAGGCCTCTACTGGATTCAGTTCAGGGGCGTCAGGGTACGGAAGCACCCACCACTAATACTGAAGCACCCGCCACAAACACAACAAATGAAGCTGGCACAGCAACACCGGGGGATACAGCGGAGAACAACACGACAACGAACGCAACAATGACAACAGACGCAACCATGATGACTGCGACATCGACAACTAGCACTCCCACGGTAATTTCCCAAGCCATGGAAACTCCCGAAACCACGTCACAACAAACAGAGAATGTTGTGCAAGCAGCAGAAGCGGTGGAGGCCGCGGAGGCTGACGCCGTACCAGGAGGAGAGGCAACAACAACAACATCAGAAGCATCCCAAACTGGAGTCGAGAACCCCAATCCAACAAATGGGCCTACACCTTTCCCAACAAATCGACCGACGCCATCTCCAACTCCAATGCCCACTCAACCAAGGCCAACGTTCCCACCGGCCATGACTGCACCTCCGTGGCGACCATTTCGGTCTAACCCGAACATTTCCCCTCGCTACCGGCGGCCAATACCAAACCGAGCCGCCATTAGAAACCCGTTTCCTGAGTTTGAGATGGTGCCTGATTTCATACTCCTCCGGCGTTATGGCAGAATTGAAAGGCAAGCATTTACGGGATTCACAAACGGAGATCCCACACCGTTTCCTACGCCACTTCCAATGCCAGTCGTCACTCCGTTGCCTACACCAGCACTAACTGCAGGCGAAGATCAAGCTGCTCCTCCTGGAGTACCGTCTCCCACAACAGCGGAACCAACGCCGACTCCTGACGATAATATGTCTCCAGCTGCGCCGGCACCGACTTCGGCGCCAGTGCTAAATACAGAGACTCAAGCTCCAGGACCAACCGCAACGCCATTGGATATTGGCGGTCCCTTTGAGACTGCAAGTCCAGGAAGCACCCCACCACCTACCGACACGCCACTGGATATTGGTGGTCCCTTCCAAACTGCATCTCCAGGAAGCACCCCGCCACCTACGGCAACGCCATTGGATATTGGTGGCCCGTTTGGAACCGCCGCTCCGGGAACAGGTACCCTGACACCTACAGCGACACCCCTCGATCTCGGCGGCTCATTTGGAACCGCCACTCCGGGAACTGGTACGATGACACCAACTGCAACACCTCTGAATGTTGGTGGACCCTTTGAAACAGCCACTCCAGGGACTGGTACTATGATGCCAACTGCGACGCCATTGAATGCTGGTGGATCTTTTGAAACAGAAACTCCAGGAACTGGTACTATGATGCCAACTGCAACCCCGTTGAATGCTGGTGGAGCTTTTGAAACAGCTACTCCAGCCGCGCCAGATCTTACTATTGCTCCAAGCCCACCAGTTTCAACGGCTGCCGCAATGACAGCACCACCATCCATTGCCGCTACAGCGGGAACAACTGTGCCCACACAAGGGAATATGGGAGTGCCCGCTACAATTATTCCAAGCACGGGAGGATCTACTGCTGCTGCCATGACATCCCCACCATCCATTGGAGCTACCGTAGGAACATCTGTACCCACGCAAGCTACCATGGGAGTGCCTGCTACTATTGTTCCAAGCCCAGCGGTAACTGCGGCCGCAATAACAGCCCCACCATCCATTGCAGCTTCAACAGGAACCATTGTACCTGCTACTCTTGCACCAAGTTCTGCGATTGCAACTGCATTACCGGCTGCCACTCTGGCTCCATCTGCAGCGGTGGCTTCTGTTTTGCCAGGTACGCTTGCCCCCACTTCTGCAGGTGCAATAGCCGTTCCAGCAACTCTAGCGCCAACAGCATCGGCATTAACAGGCGCAACAATAGCTCCATCTCCAGCACTGGCAACGGCGTTACCAGGAGTTACCATGGCTCCTTCAGCAGCCATTGCCGCTGTTGGGACTACAGTGCCGACCACGGTTGCTCAATGCGTGGACAATCCACAGGATTACCCCGTCGGCGTTGATATCCAGCCCCTCTTTGCTGATGGAATCTTTGTGCCCTGTCAAGAGGCAGAGCAGGCATTCATTTTGTTGACGATTCAGGACACACTCAACAGAGCCTTCCCGCAGATAGCGGTGGATTGGCTCGGAACCGCGAATTTCGGACCTTTTGTTGTGGATCCAGCGCAAACGGTAGATAATACTGGGACCGCGACGGCCGCTCCTCTTGTGCGACGTCGCTTCACACCTCGCAGAGCTGTACCCCCAATCCATGATTTCACGTCTACCAAAAGTGTTGCATCTCCTCCATCAAACACACAAAGCCAAGCGGCTAGTGGCCCACCCCCACTTGCTGATTCCCAATCTGTCAACAACCATGTGCCCCCTCCTCAAAATAGAATTGCAGGGACCGATGCTATTTACAACAACGGATGGCCCCCAGCATCGAACCCGCCACCAGTGCGTGACTTCCAACCTGTCCACAACGATGAACCTCAGCAACCCAACAGGAGGGGTCGTCCAGCCGCCGGTGCGCCCCCCATGCATGATCCCCAGTCCTTCACTAACAACGCGGGACCTTCCACATCATCAGGTCCACCTCCACTTGGAGAATTTGAATCCCAAAACAACAACAATTTGCCCGCTGCTCCTCAAAATAGATATGCCATTGGCCCACCGCCGCTGAGCAGTTTCGAATCCTTGAATAATGTTCCACCTCCTCTTCCACATCAATATGACACTTCCTCAGCAGGCCCACCTCCAATGCAAAGTTTTCAATCCCTCAACAATGGAAACCCTCCTCCAAATCAGTTTGGAGGTTCATCTGCAGGTCCACCCCCAGTTCGGGCCTTTCAACCTATCAACAACAATGATGCACCTTTCCAACCAAGTGGAGTTGGATCATCAGGCCCACCTCCACTGCAAAGCTTCCAATCCCTCAATGGTGCTGCAGCTCCAAATCAGCATGGATCTTCATCTGGCCCACCCCCACTTCACGATTTCCAATCCCTCAATGGTGATGCAGCTCCAAATCAGTATGGCGCTGCATCTGCAGGGCCACCCCCAGCAAGGGTCTTCCAGCCAATCAGCAGCAGCAACAACAATGCGCCGTTCCAGCCAAATGGACCTGGATCATCAGGCCCACCTCCACTGCAAAGCTTCCAATCAGTAAATGGTGCCGCAGCTCCAAATCAGCATGGGTCTTCATCTGGCCCACCCCCTCTCCACGATTTCCAACCCCTCAATGGTGCTGCACTTACTCCAAATCAGTATGGTGCTTCATCTGCAGGGCCACCCCCAGCAAGGGTCTTTCAGCCTATCAACAACAACAACAATTCACCTTTCCAGCCAAATGGAGTTGGCTCTTCAGGGCCACCCCCACTGCAAAGTTTCCAATCCATCAATTCTGCACCTCATCCTCCTTATCAGTCCAGACCTTTGTCTGCAGGAGCACCTCCAATTGGCAGCTTTCAGCCTATCAACAACAACAGCCCACCTTTTCAACCAAATGGCCGTAGACCTGCATCAACAAATCCACCCCCACCTCGTGGTTTTCAGCCCGTCAACAACTATTCGAATCTTCCGCCACAACGATACGGTGGAACACCAGCAAGGGGGGGCATTCCTGACCAAACACAATTCTCCCCGATTCGCCCAGGGGGGCGTCAATTGCAGACTGGAACATGCCCTGCAAGGCCTGCGGCAACGTGCCAGCCGTCAGCAAGTGCTTGTTTGCTTACATGTGGGGTGGCATCGACCACAAATTGTGCTGCAGGATTGCAGGACACGCTCAGTTGGCCATTCTTGGCATTCGACGTGTCAACTGCGCTTGGTGGATTGGGATTTCAGTGCCTGGGATCAGGGAACCCCAACGTTGTTTTGACTGTCTTTTAGCATTTTCCACTGATTGGGAGATGTCTGTGGGGTGCTATTCGCTGGGGCTAAATCAGTTGTTGGTCCGTAGCAAAGGGGGAGTACAGCTGCCGAGGATTGGTGGCGGCGAGGGAGCGGGGAAGGGGGACGAATGACCGGTGCAACTTGCTTCCGGTCCACTGCAAGGTGCCAGCGGACAATAACCAAGCAACGTGTAACTGATTCCTGATCATTCCATAAATAAAAGCTTTCCTTCGTCTATTTGCCTGCGCGTTCATGACGTTTCACCTTGTAATTGCAATGAAGAAGCTGTACCTTGCAAAATAGCAGCAACAGTTGATTCGATTTGAGTTTGCAGTGCATGACTACAATTGACATGCTTAGGCATCGAAAGGTTGAAGTACATCTATCTTTTAGAAACAACACATTCTTAAACATAAAACTGTCACTACTGGCTAGCTGACAAAAAGATCTTAGAAGACGACCAAGTGTCGACTTCGGAAAGGGAACCACTGGGTGGAAGTCCTGTTCTAAGCAGCCTTGCTCTTCTTGTTGCCGGTCTTGATCAGGTAACGCTTGAAGAAGAACTCGCAGAACAGGTAGAGGTAGCTTGCGTACATGAACAAGGTCCCCCGAATGTTCAAGGGATCAGCAAAGCATCCATTCTTTCCGGCGTATTTGTAGGATCCAACGCAGACACCAACTCCCACAACCATCTGAAGAATCTGGGCAACAGTGATGATCTTTGGGTTCATCCACTTGGGCTTGCATCGGACAGCCATGAGGAAGTAGTAGAAGTACATAACCTGGGATGATTGGACAATAGTAGCGATCAAGAAGGTTCGTTAGGGTTTCATTCGGACGGCATGCGAAACGCATACTTTTCCCCAGACTGTTGAACTTACCGTGTGGACTCCGTAGTTGACAACGCAGAAGATGAATGCTGAAGGACTTCCACTGATCATTGTGTGCCAGCAGCAGAGCAAGACAGTGATGTGGTGGTACCAGTGAAGGAACATGAGCTTCTTCTTGCGGACCACAATGAAGAAGGTATCAATGAGTTCCGCAAACTTGCTCCAGGCAAACACCGTACCCCAGAATGGAGTGGGACCGAATCCACCAAGGGTGTAGGGGTCGGCACACACATTGGTTTGGAAATCGTAGTGCCAAAGGTTGTGCAAGAGGTGGGGCACCAAGCGCATAAAGGCAAAACCCGAAAAGACAGCCAAGAAGAGATTCCAAGCAGCGAGGCGCTTTCGCCAGTCCCAGGCTGGCTTGTCAGCCATGTAGTGCTGTCCCCAAAAGATGGCAATGGCATACAAGGTTACAGTGACAATGGGCAACCAGCTGTTGTTCTCCATGAACTCGAGGATCTTGGGGAAATTCTCGGTTGGCATTTCCCAGTTCATGAAAGTCTTGGCAAATGTCGGGTAGAGGCAGCCGAAATCTTCGTAGGGGGCATCTCGAACGGGAGCGGTCATGGTGCAGGCACCAGATGGAAGAGTAGCGTACCAAGAAGTAGACATTTTGAGAGACAGTTAGTTAGTTGAGCTGTGGTGACTAGAAAGATGGTTGTAGCGGAGTAGATCCGGTTGTTTTTGTTTTGCTGTTGCTTCTTGTGCTCAAGTAATTGAGATTGTGAGAAGAAGAGATTGGTCGTTTCCTCCCTCCATGGCCATCCGCGGTCTCATCCCCTGGATAGCTAGCTACCGTAGTAGCCAGCTAGCTAGCAAACACTCGGGGACAAGCCATTGTGGTCCTGTCGGGATCGCACGACAAACCCGGGTGGTAGCAACATGCGCCTCCAACATTGTTCTAGGTTTTCTTGCTTGCTAACCAGCGGTAGAGCACCCGTGGACCGCGAGCTGGCAAGGGACAGAACTCCGATTGAGGTTCGATCCCACTTGGAAAGCGACAACCCGTCGAAAATTGTGAGCGAAAATGAACCGTCACCCGTTCTTTGGTGTCGACGCATTCGGCCATCTCAGCCGTTCACACGATCAGCAGAAGGTCAATTTCACACGGGTAGTTCAGATAATCCAGTGTTACGAGTAATCCAGATAATCAAGTGTTACGAATATGCCATGGGTAGTTCAAACTGTTCAATCACAGATTTGGTTTACCTCATCTACTTGAACCCATTATCTGCCTTCCAGACGGTCAAGATGCTTGACGACCACAGGCTAGCAGGGTTTGGCCGGTCACGGGAACAGATAGATTATCCTTATCCCTATCGAATTTTCAAAACCGTTGCACATGGGTTTTTTACCCAGCGTCTTTACAAGATTTAACAAGAAAGATCCATCTTTGCACCACTGGCATTGTGTCGTCACGTTGTTGGCCCAAGAAGCATGTGCAAGGTCATCTTTCTATGGTGAGATGTACCAAACTGGACGGATGCACCATGGCGAAAGAACAAATAGTCTGCCGCTGTTGATCATCACCGACCACCGACATGTCCACAGCGTTGCCTTATCCATCAATTACAAGCACACAAAAGCTCCGAGTATCAGATTGATTGGCTGAGCTTCGGTTGAACCTCGAAGTGTGACGCTAGTGGTATACCCCTTCGTCGAGTAAAGCTAGTTTTCGGCAAGCTACCTTCGCTGCTTCTACATGGATCGAAAGAAGCACTACGGTATAAACAAAGAACCATGAAGCTTCCACAATGCCAACTGTGGCTGTCCGTGTTGCTAGCTTTCACCTTGTGCAACTTTGTTGTGGGAAGACTGGGTGATTCTCCCATGCTGCCGCCTCCTCTTCATCAGGCCACATTATTTAATCGGCGATATAGTGCAGGATCAGCCAGTCGAAGAAAGGACCGTCAAAAGAGCCGAAAACTAGGGATGACGTCCAAGAGTAAGAAAAGCAGTGGCATGAACAGCAAATCCCAGCCGACACATTCCGTGACTCGGCCCCCTAATAGACCCTCGCCAGGGCCAACAAAGCAACCAACGCATGCAGTCACCCGACCTCCCAATAGGCCCTCACCGGAACCAACTGCATCAACTACGACAACTAATCCTGGGACCCAAGTACCATCCGGAGCAACAACGACAGTTAGCCCAACAGGATCTACGCCACAACCAACTCCAGCCACTACAACGGCTAATCCTGGGACTCAAGTGCCATCAGCAGGAACAACGACAGCTAGTCCTACTGGGTCCACACCCCAACCAACTCCAGCCACTACCACCACTAATCCTGGGACTCAAGTTCCTTCGGCATCAACAACGACAGGTAACCCAACTGGATCTACTCCACAACCAACTCCAGCTACTACCACTCCTCAGCCCACCGCCTCAACCCCACAACCGACAGCATCCACTCCACAACCCACTGCATCCACTCCTCTACCCACTGCCTCGACGCCACAACCCACAGCATCCACTCCTCTACCCACAGCATCCACTCCCCAGCCCACAGCATCCACTCCTCAGCCTACCATCGCCACCCCTCCACCATCGGTTGCAACCCCACAGCCGACAACTGGATCCACTACACCAGGGACACCAGTGACTCCATCACCAACTCGGGCTCCCACGTGCGACGATAATCCCATGGACTACAATGTACTGATAGACCTACAGATCCAGTATCCCAATGATCAGGCTGTAGAGTGTACCAGTGAACAAGACAGCGCCATTAGTATCAGCATTGCCAATGCTCTCAATGACAACTTTCCCACCACCGTCCCGGATTGGGATGGGGATGCCTACTTTAGCGACTTTGTCTTTGATCCTGCGCAACAAGTGGACAATGTGGCTCGTCGAAGGTTGCTGACGGCCACGAGTAGTCGCATGCTGCCAAGTGGCGGTCGCATCCTGCAACAAGGCACGTGCTCCAGTCGTGACGGTATTGGTTGCTCCGGAGATCGATGCCGCTGGGGTTGTCTACCGGCTGCCACTACGGATTGCGGTGTCTCTGCACTGACCAATTGGTGGTTACTTGGAGAGGATATCAAGGCGAGTCTGGGAGCACTGGGCTATCCGTGTCTGGGAGATCCCGCTCTACTAGATGTGATTCTGATTGTGGAAGATCCCGAATTGGCAACCGGTCGAGCGTTCCGTCCGGACGAGGAGGATGTCCCATCCGTCAAGAAGAATCCCAATGAAATGTTGCTCCACAGCCAACAATGCCAGGACGAAGCGGATGAAGCCCAGGCGGATACACCGTCTCGCACCATTCGTGTCAAGTCCGAGTTGGACTTTGAATTCTTCAATGGCACTGCCGCGGCACCGAGCAACGAAGAATTGGTGGGTCTGAAATGTGTCATTAAACTGTTCTTTGCGGAGGAATTCCAAAAGTCGAATCCGGACTTTGTGGGCTTTGACGTGGCGACTCCTAGTCACAAGTTCAAGAGAGACCATGGCGCCAATACGGATACCTTTGAGTACGACTTTATCGCCGTGGTGGATTTACTGAAAGCGTCCAAGTTAACACCCAAGCATATCGCCGAGACCATGGCAATGAAGGACTTTGACAAATTCATTCAGAACTATGTTTGGAATGCGCCTCCGTTTGAACGCAACGAGTTCTATGACACGCAGTGGGTCCGGTTCACAGCCAAAGGAGCGCAGGGTTAGGGTGATGATTTGATTACTTGATTGCTTGGTCGAAGAGCGTAGCTACCATGCCATTGTAGCTCAGCACACACCACATAACTACTAGCTAGTAAGATAGTAAAAAGTACATGACAAATCTCAACCTCATCATGAAGCGCATGTTGGTAGAACTTGGGCATGCATACAAACCTTCTCTGACAGCTTACGTAGGCTAGCTAGTGAACAATACAATGCAATGCTCTACTAGCTAGGTCCTTGATACATCTATGGAGCGTATGGTACCGGTACCTATTCTGTCGACAAGGTCCGTCGACTGGATAAAAACACTGATGGACCCTCTATGTGGAAGCTGGTTCTCCCAAAGGTTGAACAGCCTAACCGGCTTGTATCTTGGAAACGAGACGATGGTGAAGAAGGAAGAGGAGAAGGTGATCACTTTGATGGCCAGTGTTGCCTTCCTTTTGGTGTCTCTTTTGATTGGTGTCCCAGTTACTCCTCATTGCCCTGCTCTAGCTACGGTAGCAGATCTCCTGTGATAGCATGAACGCTGTAGCCATGAAGTACATGTAGTGCACCATGTCATGCCGTCCGAGTCGCCAAGGTGTAGTGGTAGTGGTGATTGGTGTGGCGATTCTCGTGGTAATCTTTCAGTTTCTGCAAGATGCCAAGAACATTGATGAGGCTGATGCCAGTGAAACCAAGGCAAAAGACTCTACTACTGCCACAGTTGCATCCTCATTGCCGTTGAGCAAAAATACAAGTTCCTCCACTATAGACTTTTCGTGGCGCAAGTCTTCTCGACTACCAAACTGGATGAAGGACTATTTTGACTGGCATGTACAAGAACGAGCTCGACTGGACGCAAACCCGTTGGAGTGGGAATCCTTTCGATTTCTCGTCATGAGATGTTACAAAGGCGACAATTGTGGAGGAACGGCCGATCGTTTGAAATCGCTTCCTCTGTTGGTACTTTTGGCGGCCGAGTCGAAACGATTGCTATTGCTAAAATGGGGAAATCCCTTTGACTTGGAAGAATTCTTGATGCCTCACGAACTCAACTGGACGGTTCCCAGCGAGATGAGACATGTACTGGCATCCTCCACTGTGCCACGCCGAAAACCACCAACGACCGTCCAAAAGCTAGAAAAATTTCTGTACGCCAATCACACCATTGTGGGAGCGAAATTGCAGATTCCCAGTGCATTTTACGATACGGACAAGTGGAAACAATCACCATTGACTACGAGTATTACTAGTACACGGACTCAATCTACTGTCACCAATTCAGACGAAGACTCGCGGATGCTCTTTCACGATTTGTGGAAGATCCTCTTCCAGCCTTCGGCACCCGTGGCGGAAATGATCCAACACGAACTAAAAGCGATTTCTTCTACTTTGAATATCCAATTGACTCCTGGCACCTACATTGCCGCTCATTTGCGGGCCAAATATCCCGGGGAACCCTATCGAGATGCACAAGAACGAAACAACCCAGAAAAAGAACAAATCCTCCAACACGAAGTGACACAGGCGCTGCAATGCGCATCACACTTGAAACCCAAGGTGCCAATCTACTTTGCCGCCGATGCCACACAGGCTACCGAATTCGTGCAACAGCAGTATCATCATCCCACCAATAAGAGACACATTGCCACACTCCAATCGCAACGAGCGTCGGAAGTGCATTTGGCATTTGCCAAGTTAGACGATCCCACCGGATATTTTCCCATTTTTGTCGATTTATGGATTCTGGGAAATGCCGACTGCGTGAGTTACGGACGAGGGGGATTCGGTCAGTTGGCCAGTTTGATGAGCTACAATGCCAGCTGTCAGCAGATTCGAAGTCGTTCATCCTGCGAATGGAAAGATTGATTGGTGATGGTGTCTCTCTTTTTTTGATGACGGCATGTCACTATTATGAGCAGCGGTTTCATTCATGACGTGCGGGGTCAGCAAATCGTACGCTTTGGGATCTATAAAAGAAAAATTCTTCCGTCCTCGGCGTTCTGCTCTGGAGAAACATCTGCGGCGACCTTTGCACTTGCTCCCACATCATCACCCTGCGAATGGCAAGATTGATTTATGGTGTCTCTGGCAGACCCCGCACCGCCCTGTAGCAAAGACGCGCTTTGGGATCCAACAAGGAAAACAGTTCTGTCCCCACGGTTCTCCTTTGGAGAAGCATTTGCGAGAAGCCAAGGCTTCCAGTGAGATTTAGACCAGCCAAGCTCCTGCCACAAGAATGGCTCTTGAAGCCACACGGCGTTAGTAAATCAGGCAGTTAACTCTTTCTACGACCGGGGAGAGCCACCGACTAGAAGCCTCCACCCCACAGGCCCAAAAAATGATTCGATAATAGTAGATGCATCCCTTATTTCTAGATTCCGAAAGGGCGCAAGGCTTCAAACTTTTTTGTGTAATATCTCTATAATTTTCGGTTGATAGCTCTATTTATAAAAGGAACAGGAAGAAAGGAAGCCGGAGCGTACTAATGGCATGTGGATCGCGATTAGCTGCGTGCGTTTCGTTTCCACTTTTTGGAGTTGTTCTTTTTGTGTGGTGTTGTCTTTGAGATCCATGGACTTTTCCGGGCTGCCTTGAGTCTGTGCGACAACCAGCCGTCAAACAGCATACCCTCGGAGTCGGAGGAATCGGCTTCTAATGATTGTTTCTCTAGTCGAAGACCCTGCACATCCGACTCGAGTGGACTCTTTTCTTCTCGAAGTTTTTCGACTTCAATGAGTTGTTGGTGAATGCTATTCAAATGTGTAATGGCTTGGTCGATGGAATCCGCGGCAGATTCCACCGAACCCATGCCTACAGAAGACATGTCATCATCATCGCTGTTGTATTCGCTTTCGCTGTCGCTGTCGCGTCGTTGATAAGAACCGGGGACAATAGTTCTTCGTTGGCGTCCGTCGTGTGATCGAGGCATGTTGATGTTTTGGTGTTGGATTGAAATTGGCGCGCTTGTGCTTACAAAATTGTGCCTTGGCTTTTGTTTTGGTTTTTGTTGAATTTGTGAGCGAAGACTGGGAATGTCAGTTGGACTTTCTTGGGTTTTTGGTGTGAAGTTTCCTTGGAGTGAAGTTTGTTGGCATCAATTAATTTTCGTGGAGGTAAGTCTTGGCTCAGTCTTGGAAGACTGTAGCTCCAATCCCAGAAATATTTAACTCTAACCCTTTCATAGCCATGCTGACATCATACTATCGTTTCATTTGATCACCAATAGCTCCTGACTCGACTCCAGTCGAATCTTTAGCTGGGTATCAACGGAACAATTCTAAGTCATTGCTTCACGATCTCTGCTGATCTGGCAGGGGATGGGTTTACGATCATATTTAGGGTACCGCTAGTGGCCCAACCAGATTCCATCGAGGGTCATTGGCATTGCGTTCTTTTGCTGGACAGTATTTAAGCACTTCCGCTCCCATCTCCCTCCTTGTCATTTTGATGATGCTGGGGAAGTACTCTTTGAATGACTGGTCGGATGCCCCCCATGGTTCATAGGGTCATCTTCAGCTTCCAACCGTTTTTGAAATGACCGTTTCTTCCACCACACACAATTCTCACACCAATTTTGGTCTTTTAGCTGGCAACCGATCTCTCTCTGTGTGAACAACAACAGTGCATACGGTACCAACCACAACCAACCAAGCAGCAACTGGATAACAAGGCTAAGACCTGGCAGAGCTTACAATTCGGCTTTTTGAAATTGTCCTCGACCTATATCACACCCACCAATCCAATCCAACCAAAGAAGAGAGTGAGTGATTCTTCTTTCTAGATTATACTCCTTAGCATAGTTCATAACAACAACAACAACACGACGAAGATCAGCATGATGAGAATAGTAGCCGCGCTGCTACTGACGACGGTAGTGGTCAGTGCTGATATTGCATCCCAAGTCCAGAGTCAACTGCGAGGACGTCAACGATTGCTTCAGAGCGCCCAGCGAGGTGCCGATGCCCTCGGTGCCCTCAATGCCGGCGAAAACGCCAATGAAAATGCCCTTGAGAATGCCAATGAAAACAGTGTCCTCAGTGGCGCTCAGACGGTAGCACCCACCCTGGCAGGCACTGTGGGCAGCACTGTGGTGCCTTCTACCGACATGCCATCGACCGAAGTGCCGTCTACCGATGTTCCTTCTACAGATGTTCCATCTACGGATGTTCCTTCTACGGATGTGCCTTCGACGGATGTCCCATCCACAGATGTCCCTTCGACCGATGCCCCTACCACCGAGACACCTCCACCCAGCACGGAAACGGTCGCTCCCACCGAAGAGACCGCCGATCTTACATTCACGTCGTCGCCCACGACCGCCGATGCCACCGCCTCACCCACCGAAAGTCCTATTGACAATACCGTCTTGACGGGCGACAAAGATGGCGAAGAAGCCATTGATTATCCCGACTACTTCCAAACTGGTTTCGGTGGTACCTACCAGATTGATTCCGAACTGGAATACCACTTTTGGGCTGGCAAGGGATACGACCCCGACCAGACCCAACAGACCAAACTCATTTGGGCCGCTCAAAAGACATTCTCCAAAATCCTCAAAGACAAATTCCCCGACGACTTTGAGAGTATCACCGAATGTACATTGACGCACAGTTACAATGCCGAAACGGAGATTCTGGATTTGCACTTTTACGCCGATGTCAAGCTCAAGGATGGATCGGCCGAAACGGAACATTCCGTCGGATACGCGCTCAGCCAGGGCGATTGGCATGCCTATTTGGACGAGATTCGAAAGGCCGGGTTGGTCCGTGGTGGTGAAGTCGACTACACCGCCACCGGTCCCAACAAGGATCCCAATGCCGTTCAAAACGGTGGAGGACGACGTATTCTTGGACAAGCACGTGCCGTGCTGCCGTAATCATGCATGGCAAGTGGATAGAGGGGGTTAGCAACTAACTAGAATGCAACGAAGAACGTCCTGTCAGAGGCCGTGTCTGTCGGGCAAGGAGCCAAGCAACGAAAGAGTGCACGGTGTTGTGCCGGTTGTAATAACTAATTTTAGGACGAACGAACAAACAAAAGAACAAACAACATCATATTATATTATACTAATAACGAAATACATGTTTTGAAAGAGGTAGCCTAGCTAGTAGCTAGACAGACAGCACTAACACCTCTAGCTAGTGGCCAGCTAGCTGGAGGATCGTCCTGTTCGAGGCGCCACCGAACGACCTCCCGCAGCTTGCTACCGTACTAGTAGTCGTGGAATGTCCGGGACGACCTAGCATCTGAAACCTAGTCATGCCTTACTGGATGCTACCGGAAACTACATGCAGCTCTCTAGCTAGCTAGCAGAGTAGTAGCCAGCATCCACCGGCCACATCGCACGGCACAGTACTGGCACTAGCTAGTACATAGCAGCTTTTGGAAACAATGGTTGTGTGATCAGGATGGCATCTTCTGCGCCCACTATGAGCTGGATGACTGGGCTCAATAATACTACCCTGCAACCCTGTGAGAATGATCTTGCTTGGCCTTCGAGTCGAGTCGAGTCTGCGATCTTGCTCGCTTGCCAATGGTGCGGTACTGTGCTAGCTAGTAGTAGAAGTGCATGCTGGTGCTGATGATTTGATTTGATTCGATTTGATTCGAGTGGATTCTCCTGGACTGACTCCCGAATGTTACCGAAGCAATCATTTCAAGCTGGCTACTGGACAGACCGTCCACTGCCAATGGTCCTCATGGACCCCTCTCGAGAACACATTCTCTCTAGAATACACCGCGAAACTCCCTCGTCCAAAGGGTATTCCTCGTCCCAGCTCCGCTCGTCCAACTCAACAAGAAGTGCAAGCAGCAGTTGTAGTCACTTTTTCTTCAGCGGATGAAAGTAATCAGTGAACAGGTCGCTAAAGGTCTCAGAAGAAAGTACAATAATAGAACGTTTTAGAATGACATGTAGTACTGCTAATTAGCTGTCTCGTTGGAACACAAACAGTCACACCCACAGAGCTGCTCTGAGCAGTCAAAGCCAAGATAGCAAGGGTATCCCCACGAGTATGTGCAAGTTGAATTTTGAAGGAAGCAAAACTCCTCTGGTATGGTACCAGACAGGCCAGCACTGCCTGTGAGATCTAACTTACCCAAGCTTGTCACGAGAGCCAACTCAGATGGAACTGATCCAGTCAATAGAGGCAAACCATCCAAACCCAGTAGTTCCAATGACGTCAACTGTGCCAGCTCTGAAGGAATGCTCCCAGTGAATCTGTTCTTTCCCAGCCAAATCCGCAATACACCCACCAGGCCTTGCAGTTCATTTGGAAGGGACCCCGACAAGTTGTTGTCTTCAAGGTCAAACCATTCCAGGACGGTATTGTTCATCAGTTCAATTGGAATTTGACCTGATAACGCGTTTCCATAAGCTTCCAAATACTTGAGCTGGTATGCCTTCCCAATCTCCGTTGGCAGGCTTCCCGAATGAAAGTTTTCACTTGACCTGAATGACTCAAGCAATGACAGCATTCCAACCTCGCTGGGGATTGCACCAGTAAGCAGATTCACATTAGTGCTAAACGACTTGAGCGAAGACATGGTTCCTATCTCACTCGGCAATGGACCTGTCAGAAAGTTGCCTGTTTCTCGAAACCCTGCCCTGTTGTACCCAACACTCAACGTCTCAAGAGAACTTAGTGCCCCCAGCTCGCTGGGAATAGTGCCAACAAGTGAGTTTGCCGCCAACGTCAAAGTTGTCAATTGAGTTAGCTGCCCAAGCTCAGATGGAATGGTCCCACTGATATAGTTGGCCAGAACCGCAAAATAAACCAACTGTGTCACCAATCCAATCTCTGATGGAATGGTTCCCTTCAAACCAATCCCATTTAGGGCTAATCGTCTCAAGCTTGATATTTGTGGCAGCTCGGGAATCCAAAAGAATTCCTCCAGGGTTGTATCCACAGTGTTGTTAATCTCACCCAAGGATATAAAAGACAAGGATGTGAGCAAGGAAATCTCGCGAGGGAGGCTTGCTGACAAACCAGTGAGTCCAAGGTTATACAAGAAAAGGCTGGTGAATTTTCCGTGCTCATTGCATGGGGGCGTAGCATCGTGAGGTGAGTATGGAGAGAACGTTCCATCCGGGTAGAAGATTCCCACACCGCTGGAGAACCAGTCACACTCCTCCTTTGTGTCATCCATCCATCGCTCCTCAATGAGTGGATTCCAATTCTCTCCATCCATGGAGTAGAAGAATGAAGCAAGTGCAAACAGTTGTGTTTTTCTCCATTCCGGCAGGAATGTGATGTTTTGGTGATTAGCAAGCCAGTTCCATGCTCTCCACTGAGGAGTTTCACTGCCATTGTTCATGCTAGCCAAGGTATGTTCCGGTAAACTCTCAATCAGAACATCCAGACCCCCAGTGGGGGCAGAGGATGGTACTTCAGATGGTGCCATTGAGCCATAGACTGTAGGTGTCATTGTGCTGGCAGCAGCCAATTCTTGGGAGCTCTTGTTTGTTCCTGCAATGGTACCAACAATCACTGCAACAGCAAGAAGTGTCAATACCATAATGAAGAATATTGTGTGCTGCCGTTTCTGTCTTTTTCTTTGTCGATTCTCCTGTTCCTCCAGATTGACTGGATCCGCGTGCATTAAATCTTCTGGTTCATCGGTGACTTGGTTAGCCACTGCTAAACCTTCCAGGGAAACACCGGATTGCCTTGCTTGAATGGGAAATAGAGACGGGTCCATCACCTGGTCGAGTGCCGGCAGCTCTGTTGTTGTTGCATTATTAGTTAAATTGGAAACTCCCGGCCCCTCAATGGGGTAGGCACCGGGGACCAAGACTTCTTGTTGCCCCTGTTGTTGGATGGTTTCACGCATACCTGGGTGTGACACTGTGGTCCCACCAAGCAGGTCATAATCGAGAGCATCGGTACGTCGCAAATTGCCTCCGGCTGCTGCCATATACGCGCCTGGACGTGAGTCGAGGTTTGCCCCATTCAATGTTAACGGAGGTATCGACTGGACTTCTTCAGCCGCTTCATCTAGAAACGCCTGGTGGGGGGAGTCGGGTGCTGGACTCCCTTCTGCGGGGTCACCATCGCTGCTGGGGGAAGACCTGGACATGGACGTTGAAGAACCGGTAAGCTCGTCTGCTTCTTCTTCTTTTGGAGCCTTGCGCTCGTCATCCTTCATTATCTTTTCCGTTTCGTAGTTTGGCACACCATTTCCATTGACGGCGACAGCTCCAGGGGCCACGGCAGAGGCAGATCCATTTGCAAGGGTGGCCATATCGTTGAAGAGCACTTGCTGCTCTTTGTCTTGCAGCGCTTGCTCTTTGACATTTCCATTGTTCCACGTGACCGCTTCAGGGGCTACGACAGCGGTATTTGGTTGGGCACCAGCGACCTTATCGTTCAGGATATTGTTGAGGAGCTTTTGCTGCTCTTTAAGTTGGCGTGCTTGTTCATGGATTTGGAGCGCTTGCTCTTGGATGACATCTTCTGCCACTTTGGGCACAGGAAGGATGGCCTTATCGAGTAGTAGCAGTTGCTGCTCTTTGATGATGGGCGCTTGATCTTTGGCATCTGCCAGTTTTTGTACAGGTGGTGATTCCTCGTCTTGCTGCGATTCCTCTTCTTCCGGGACGAGATTCAGAGTCGGATACATGCGTCCCATAAAGAGATCGGCGTCGATTAGACCATCTGTGACAGAAGAAACACAAGTATCGTCATCATGGTGTCGCTGGCGGGGCACAATCTCCGTGGGAATGTTAGGCGCTTCAGGGGCAACGCCATACTGCTCCTCTTCTTCCAGAGCTCGAATGAGGGAATCCGCTTCAACACTGGTAGGACTTGGAGCCATGCTGGTGGATAGTGGTGGATGATGGTGTTTGCTGCTGGATGGGTGGTTGCCTTGGTTTTCAAGGGAAAATAATGAGGTCCTTTGGTGCTCTTGTTCGTCTTTTCCAAAGGATACCGTTACTACCTCCAGTAGACTACAAGTACCAGCAGCAAGGGTATTGACGATGCATCTGAAGCTAATTTTTGAGAAGGCGCATTCCGGATTTTGGAACACTTTCCACTTTCATGTCAGTGGAAAACGGCCAATACTAAACGTGTTTGCTTCTGTTAATTGCTTCGATCCCCTTGGACAAGTCGCTAGAACGAGATGAATGGAACGCCAGCTAAACACGTAGTCTTCTTAAGCCCAAATATGCAGAAAAGAGCGTCGGTGGGAACGTCAATTCTTTGTCGTCCATTCTCACTACTTATGCAAGGAGATCTTGTTCGGTCTTTTTTAACTACCGGTACTGTAAAAAAACCAAAGCCACCGGTACAGTACCCGGTATAGTTGTAGCCGGTAGGTACCGTAACCAAGCGATCGTCGTGAGCAAAAGGTTGGGATATCGGTAAGTTATCCTGGATAAGTTAATTGAAGGCTACACGCACAGAGCCCACAATTCCTTTCTAAAGGAGTTTGGTACCAGTAGTTGCACTTTTAAACTATCCCAGTGATAAGAGGTGAACTCAGTATTTAAGTATTGCCTTTAACTATGGCATAGGGATTTAAAAGCATTTGCCCAAAGATCTGTCTCGAGTCTCAGAAAAGAACCGACAGATTCCGAGAACTCAACCAAGTACTAGTAAGTTCTGTGCTTAGACTACTGTAATACTGTACACTGGTACCACCAAAATTTTGAAAATTTGCGTGCAGTACACTTGTAGTACTATTACATGCACTATTGGGTACTGGCAGCTGGCAGTATGGTATGTACTGGTACAGTACCGGTACGTAGTGGTAAAGTAGTACTGACTCTTATTGAGTACTCTCAGATAGAGCATTGAACTGCTCGGGCTCAAGACGGATGATGCAAATCAGCGGTGAATTGTTTCTGAGAGGACTTTGTCGCACGACAACACTACATGTACTGTACTAGTACCTGGTACATTCGTACTCAGAAATTATTTTGGAGGAAGGAAGTATTAATAGCATACACGTAGCAAGAAGAACGAAGAGGTCTTTGACACGGACTTCACGTTTTATGGTAAGATCGCGCTTCAGGGTTCAGGGACAGTGACACTTGAAGAAAACGCCGCTTTCAATAATACCGACAAGCCTTCGAAGTTGGGTAACAATTTCTAAGTCGAGTGAAAATACGTCTGTCACGGCAACCGCACCGTACCGCTACATATACCGGTACCGGTAGATCTACCCGTACGCTGCACATGTCGACCGAGGACTCAACCCATACCAACAATGACAATAGGGAGCACGATTTTGAAAAGCGGCCGTACCTTCCTGGGCAATGTTCCCGTGAAGGCAATCTAGAGTTCCGCTGCCGTACCGGTATCTGCTGAATGTGGCATGTGCAACACCGGGGGCTGGAACTCTCTCTTTTTGATGACATGGGGACGCCTGGGCTTGAAGAAGGAGTAGCCAGATCTCTTCACCGACTTTCTAACAAGCAAGCGTCTCCTGACGGAGGGCTGCAAGAAATACGTCGACGAAACCTCCAGTTCAGAGCGGCCAACACCTGTTGCACACGTAGCTAGGCTTGGTCTTTGAAACTATCTATAACGATGCCCTGCTTGCTGGCATTGACGACCCGTCAGACCCCAGCTCTGGCTCTTTCTCTAGCTAGCGGCTATAAAGATGGCGGTGACCCCCTGTTGGGTTCTTACATCATTGCGTTGACTGTCTTTTGTAGTACGCCACAATCACAGGGACAGATGCAAGAGATGTGACGTACACACCTCCAACAGCTCCTCCAACAATGATCACGCATAGACGACATGGCCGAAAAGTAAGTGTAGAGATGCAGCGAGTAGAACGATCGAAGCTGCCGAAACCGAGGGAATCATTCCATATCCTTGACAATTCACAGACAACGCCTTTATGACTATTTGATTTAAAATTAATAGTAGTAATAATGCCAAACTAAGACGAAGATCAATCGTTTTCCTTTTGCACGGCTTTCTGAATTTTTTCGAGGTTGAGTTCCGCCGTGCCAATGTCCAAGCTCTCGTGGCGAGTCGAATACTCCAGGAACTTGATTATTGCTTGAATTTGCAGAGTAGAAAACCACTTCACAAAGGAAACACTCTCAAACTGGTACGTATCTGGATTGAGGGCGTAGATTGCTGCATCTACATTCAGGGCTTGCGTAGCCCTCTTTTCGAGGTATTCAGTGGATGGATGATGCCTTATTGTCCAAATCATGTATGCCGGTAGGTAGAACTTGTAACCCTTCTTGTCAGTAAACGAGAAAACAACACCAAAATCCTCCAGGGTCCTGTCCAGTATGGCAGTCCAATCATCCCTCTCATCCGTTGGCAAACCCTCCAAGTCGCTGGGGTCCCTGCCGGCATCCAAGAGCTCGGTCTGCTGCAAAGAGGTCCCATCATCCTCCAGTTGGACTCCTTTGAATGCCTCTTGGATCTGAGCGATCAACGCTTCCTGCTCCACCGTCAGTGGATCCTCCTCCACATCCACTGCTACCATGGGTTGGGGTCTGGTCTTTTCTTTCTTCTTTCCTGCCATTTTGTTGTTTGTGTTCTTGAGGGATGTTATACTTGTGGAAGGATCTTGTGTTGAACGGATTCCACTCGTTGTTGTGCATGATTGGGTGAACGGGAATAGATTTGTTCAGCGCTGGAGGAGATAAGTCTGGTACGGTACTGGAAGCAATAGCTGTAATGTGAAGAAAGCAATAGAAAGCAATCGAAGAATTGGATCCAAAAGATCGCGAAGCGATTGCTGCATCAAGAGCAAGAAGGGATCCATCGACCCATCACAATCAGCACATCACCCAAAAAGAATTGAATTGAATCAATATCGACTCGAATCCATCACCATGAGCAACGGCGACACCAGCAACAACACCAGCAACGGCAGTCCTCATCATCATCATCATCATGATGCTCCGATTATGAAGACCGCCGACGATGCGATTTTGGCCAAGGTGGCGACAGTGGAAGCGGGGTACTACCAAGATCCGTATGTCACGGCCATGAGTCGTCATGCGTCGGGCATTACTACGACACCTACTGCAACAAATCGGCGACGCCAAATTCAACCCATCATCAAACGAGGGACACATGCTCGTGTGTGTTGTATGGATCGTGCCATTACGTCCTTTTTGGAATTTCATCACAACAACACTAATAGCAAAGCCCAAGTGTTGGTGCTGGGATGTGGCAAGGACACGTCCTATTTTCGTCACGTCCTCCACAACAAAACAGAACAGTCTGAGTCAACAACAACAACCATTGGATGGTACGAAGTGGATCATCCGTCCGTCATTCAAGCCAAGGCGGCCATTGTACGAGAAGCTCCGCATGTCTTTGGTGCCACGGTAAAAAAATCGGTTCATGGATTTAGCATTTCTCCTACAGGCAAGAAGAGCAAGACAGCAACAACCAACGGCAGCAGTAGTAGTCGCGAAAGCAAAAAACAAAAACAAACTCTAGCACCCATCATTGACGAAGGAGACGAAGAAGAAGACGAAGAAGAGGGAGATGTTGTCATGCCCATGGAAACCGAGCAATTCGACGCTTTTGAGGAATCCACTCTAGAATCTACTACGACAGATAAGTCCGACACTTCTACGTGCCATTGGATACAACACGATTTACGAGAATCTCCACCGGCACTGGTGGAAAAATTGACCCACACGTCCCACTTTGATCCGTCCCTTCCCACATTGGTCTTGTTGGAATGCGTTCTCATGTATCTGCCGGATGACGAATCCCGGCAATTGCTGCAGTGTCTGACACAACTATTGCCGCACATTTGTGTCTGTGCCTACGAACCCATTTTGGGCAGTGACAATTTTGGTACCGTCATGGAACAACACTTGACACGAGCGGGTGTGACTAGCCACGACAGTGGATTGCATGTCGTCCGGACACTGGACGCCCAACTCGACAAGTTACTGGCGTGTGGGTTTACGCGGGCGGCCGGATGCGACATGGCGGCTGCCTACGACAGTGTATTGACTCCCGTGCAACGACGCGATGCCACCAAAGCGGAATTTTTGGATGAATTGGAAGAATGGCAATTGATTATGCATCATTATTGTTTGATTGTCGCTGCTGCGGCGAATAATGATGAGGAGAGTGGCGACGACCAGAATTTTGGAGCGCTCTTGTGCAGTATTGGGGAATCGTCGGCCATGGGATTTGATCCCACCAAGACGGTCCAAAAGAGCAAGTAGATGTAGACGGATTTGATTTGCATGGGAATTCCTTTCCATTCAACAATTCGCATCCAAAAGTACACGCAAATAAATGATCATATATAAATTATAGAAAACGAGATACTGTATGCACAGAGTAAAACGATCAACATCTCCAAGTGGTGGACTTTTTTACGTAAAAGCAAGAGAAGGGATTGTGAGGAGGCTCTGCAAAAAGCAAAGTTGAATCGAATCATTGAATCTACCGGTACTGTCTCATGTTTTACGTATTTTTCACTTGCATTCAACCATCCTCTCGGGTTGCTTGGGATCATCATCCATCTGGCATTCTTATTTGAAATTATGCTTGTCATCCATCATGCATCTGGTCCCCCTTTGGTTCTTTTTCTGTCCTCAGTTTTTTTGCTGGCTAGCTAGATCTACCCACCATTAGACGGTCCTGGTGCCCAAGTCCATGAATCCAAAGCAAGCTCGGGACGATGGATTGGCTACGTACGTACGGTACAACCAGCCTCTGCACCTAATCCCTCCACTCTACCGGTATGCCAAGTACAGTACCGGAACTGGTGCGTGCAATCTTCCCGTGGCAAATATCTCATGTCTGAGCCTGAGGATATTATTATGATAGATTTCTACTAGCCCTTTTCTATACTGTAGTAGTTGCAAACTTCCATTGCTAGTTCGTTTGTTGCCTACGGTACAGCTACTTTATCACAGGGACTGGCCACAGCACAGCCATAGGTAACTACATGTATGTAACTAGAAGCTATCTAGGTGGTGTCCTGGAGTGAAAACGGAGGCATGATGCAGACCAAGGGAACAGTTTTGAAAAGGAACAACCACTGATTATACCTTAACCTTTTTAAAAACTTGACTATTTACCTTTTGGAAACAAGATTTGTCTTGGTGCTGAAGGACTCATCAATAATTTTGATCTGTATTGCCATTGATATAATAATTATTGGTATGGTACTCAGTTTACTCTGGCATTTTTCCAGAGCCAGTGGCCAATTTGTAATGGCCAGTAGCCAATTGCGCAAATCCCACAAAGCAAAGGAACATTCCAACATAGTTGGTAATGTTGTCTCCTTCCTGCTTCAACCATGTGGGGTTGGCTTCACCCTGGCAGGTTCCTCCCTTCATTTGGATCTTTTTAATCTCATTGATCTATACCGGTAGAATAAAAATGCAGCATAAATATGGTTAGGAAAATCAGAAAAACAAGACATCTACTAGACAGAGGCATTCGAGAAGCAACAAAGAAGAATAGATCAAAACAGTCTCCTGGCTTGCTAGTGGAAGTGCCGATGCGCCCACTGTATGGGAACAAACCCATCAGCACCAAGGGATGCTCGCATAATATTCTTCTCGATCGATTTGTTTGCCGCCTTACGTACCTTGTCGGGATAGTTGGTGATGTAATCCAAGAATCCTCTTCGTTGTTGAGTAGTAACAACCTTGGCCCTTGGGGCGGCTCGGGTGATCAATCGAGAGGCGATCATGGTGGACAGTCTTAGATGGGAATTGTGGTCTGTGATGACGGAGCGGGTCAATGTTGCGAAGACCTCTGAACAATCCGATCGCTCACTTGCTCAAAAATGAAAGCAATATCGCTAACCCTTTGTTGGAGATCTTTCAGGGCAGGGGCCACAGCGAACGAACCCGACGACAGAATCGAATCGAATCAAGCCACAATGACAACATGACAACCAAAGTCAAAGAAGAGACAACTGTACCGGTACCAACAATGGAGGCCGACCCCATCACTTCCAAGAATGCTACTATTGATAGCAAAGCACCCATAGCGGCGGGTTGGATGAACACCATCAACAAGAAGAAAAAGGCAACCAATCCGCTGCCATTGGATTGGACCCGTGTCAAGCGACGACGACCCAATAGCAGCAACAACAGTGACGACGAAGATTGCTGTGCCCCATTGGCATTCGCCATGACCTCCGCTACTTTACCACCCGATCGCCACTTGGTAGAAGGCGTGGCCATTTGGTGTCTTCATCAACCCGATCCATCGTGGTTTCAGGGATACTTTTTTCCATCCTCGTCCAAGACAACCACTGCTGCCTGGGGATTGTTGGCCGTTCAAGAAGAGATTGACGATTGTCTCCGCAGTGCCGATGGCGGCTATCGCGCTGTCACGTTGACGGTCAATCCATTTCAAACTACTAAGAAAAAAGTCGCCTATACCAGTGTCGATTGGACGGGAGGAGAAATGGTCCAATTGACGGGCCGTACCGTCAGTTTTCAACCGTCCAAACTATTGACGGGACAGCATGCCGCCCCCAAAGTGGAACAATTCTTCCAGAGTATTCTGCAAAAATGTCGTTCCAAGTTGGAGGACGATGATGCTTCTGTGTTGGAGTTGATGCCCGATGTCGCCATTGTCATTGGACCCATGAAACTGGTCATGCCAAAACCCAAACACGACAACACTTCCATTCTCGATGATTAGCTAGCTAGCTAGCTAGCTTGTGATAAGTGGGTGCAGCGATAGAAATGGACGAACATTATGCGATCCTTGGCCAAATTGTATAAAAAAAGTCATTTATTTTCATGTGACGAAGCTAGCTTCCAAAACAAAACTTCGGTCCATGATGATCCTTCTTCTAGTGACTGCCCAAAACAAACTTGTTTGTCGTAATCATGACTCTTCATTCTTCCTCCTTTTTCAGCATAAACACATGATACCGACTGCCTTTGTATCCATTGCCTCGTTTTCCAAATTGCAATGAACTCGGTTGGACGTTCCACCCGTAGTGGTCGACTCCGTGATGCCAGTACGCTGGACTGACACCACCATAGTCGTGCGGATTGGAACAAAAGGGTAGTGCATTCTCTTCAATAATAATGGGTGCTCCCGGTTTGGCAATGCGAATCATTTCCACCACCCATTGACTGAACCAATCGTCTTGCATCGATTGACTCAGATTGACCAGTGTTTGGGCTTTCCAGTCATCATTTTTATTTTGGTCCAAACACAGCTCTTTCATTTTACTGTGACTGTTGATATGGAGAGGATCCCAGAGGGGACTAATCATCATAATCATAATAATAGCATGATATGTTCATGGTGGTGCAAATTGTCGTGTTGGTGAGTAATACGATATAAAGAGAAACCAGTCAGTCAGCCAAACAACATCCAAACATCTGATGTTCGGCTATCATCTTTCTTCATTCTCGTGTTCATAAGATCTCACCTGATGAAACCCGTGTATACCAAATCGAAACTATTGGCAGGAACAAAACTCAAATCGGTGGAATCTCCTCGACAGACATGTCCCTTTTTATTGGGCATATCCTCGTCAAGTTGTGCTCCCAAGAGTACATCCAAGATCCAATTGGCTCGATTGGCATTTTCCTCAATATACTCATTTCCATAAACGGTAATTCCCGTCAAATTGGCTTCTTCTGCTACCAACTCCAGTACGGCAAAGAGATTCAATCCAATGCCACAGGCCGATTCGTAAATGGCATCGCCCGGTTTCAAATGGGGTACAAAAAAGTCTCGGACAAACTCGCGTTCGCTTTCTTTGAATTGAGTGTACGTGCGCGTGTGTCCATCAAAGACGTGGTCTCGAAAGGTTTCGAGAAAACATGCGGGGGTTTTGGTGCACGGCTGTGTTCCGTTGGCGACGTAATCTTGGATGGCGGCATCGTCGTCGAAATTGAGCGTCGACAAGGGCTCTGTGGGACACTCCAAATGAATGTGATGATGATTGTGATGGTGCATTGTTGTTGTGGAATTCTTGCTACCAGTAGTGGGAGCCATGACATAGAGAGCCACAATCAATAGCATCAATGCGAGCAACCACGGGAGTTTGGGTAGGAGATTCCCACAGAATTGTGGATCTTTGTCCAAAAGATCTTCTTGACCCGATGTCAATTCCATGGCCACCAGGGGACCTAGCTCTTCAAATTCTTCATCGGAAGACAGATATCCATTGGATATCTTGGAAGTAGTGCCATTGGATCTCTTTGTCGTCATCGTGTTAAATGAACGATAGAAGGATGGAGTACAGAGTCTATATACCGGTACCACCCCTTCCCAACAGCGGGATGCGGCGAGAGAAGTGAGAAGTGGGATGAAGGTCAAATAATAATAATAATGCATGTCCCCCAAAAATTCGATCCGTTGGGTTCATTCCCGTAATGTTCGGGACCCCGGAAAGTTAAGACGCACCTTTGCTTTCGGAATCTGTACCAAACATTCCCGTAATGTTCGTGACCCCGAAGTTAACCCAGTGAAAATATCGGTTTATCAGACTTGTTTATCCGTAATCCGGATGCCTAAGAGTGGAGGGCCAGACTGCCGATGCACTCTTTTGTTTAAGGGCCGGCTTACAACCTCCTGAAAAGTCTTCCACTGGGAATGAAATACTTAGGAGGGTTGATTGGCAGGGCCCCCGCGCCGTGACAGATTACGGTCAAGCAACCCTGCGGTACCGACTCATTGAAAGGTACCGGTAATGAAAATTTCAAATTGACCCTAGCCATTATTTCTTTCTATTATCTGTTTGAGATGAGTGTTAAACCTATAGTTGCCATTAGAAGTACCAGTAGAGCATTAACAGAAAATACGGACCATATACCCACAAGTGAAGGTTTTGGCGAGCTTAATGCAAACATTTAACGAAATGACCAATTTACTTAAGTGACATGACTGAAAGGAGGGGTATACAGGTTTCAAAATCGAAAATCGTTCCAAAACGCCGTGTTGACAATTGGGGAGTGCTTGTTCTCCACAGGAAAGTGACAAAATCGCCAAACAAATGTTACAGCCCCATGCAGAACAACAAGGGGAATGAGGCCGTAGCATTTGTTTTTATGTTTTTAATCTTCTGGTCAATTTATTCCACTCCCCAATTACATTACCACACTCTTTCAATGCGTCGGTACGGAACGTACCTGCGAGGGCGTCTCCGTTGCAAGCCGATTTGATTTAGTTGGCCATTCTAAATGCTAAATGCTAAAATCGTATGAAAGATACTCGTAGATGGTGGTCAGATCTTGGCTGGCGGCTCAAGTCTCAAGTCAACAAAGATCTGTACCACCGGTCGAGTTGGAGGGCAAAAGCTCCATCAATCTTCCACAAACTGCTTACATCATCGTTTCTCACTCCCTCATTTTTCTTCCTCGTCATCAGTTAGTTGTCGCCACTTACTTGTTTGGCTGCATCACCACCACCATGGTCTCCTTTAGCCGCCCGGATCCACCATCGCACATTTTTCACTGCGATCATGGTGAGACTGTGGAAGAACGAAGTAAAGAAGAGAAACGAGCTCTCCCGGCAATCATGAGCCAGGACCCTGATGCCCCTCATGAACAAGAAAGCACCTCCACCAGGGAAAACAGTGGTAGGTATCCCGGATGGTTGTCACGAAGTTTGCGATGGTTAAAAGGACCTGCCGCAGGACCACCGGATGAAGCTCCCCAAGGAAGGAGAAGCGAGGAACAGGCACCAGGTGCCAGGGCAGTCATCCCTGTGTCCCACCACGAAACTCCCCGGACTACCACAGATACGGCTAGTTACACTATCCAAGTTGGAGACGATAATGTCGAGCAGCCTCGAAACACCAGCAGCAACCAACGTGGCTGGCAACCTACTGGAACTTTTCTGGCAAGTTATATTTCGGATGATGATCTTCCGCAGGCAGAGCTGGTGCCTCATGATGAAAAACGGGACCTGCTGTCCAGGTTCACGCCCCAAACCAACGGAAGCCGATGGTTGTGCTTTGGTGCGATCTTTCTCTTGGCCATGGTCGCCATTGCTGGTATCGTCTGCTTGGGTGGGGTCTGTTCGGCTCCTCCTGCAAGCGACGCTGACAACGGACAACAAATTCCACAACTTGTAGTCATCACACCAGCTCCAAGCACTCAAAGAAGTACGGCAGCCCCGACCGTCAATGCAACAGCGACGCCACTGTACGATCCCACAGAATCTTCTCAACAACAACAACCACAGATCCCCACAACACTGCCAACCAGTGCTCCGTCCACCACCACCAAGCAAGCAAACGAGACAACGGTGCTAGGAACGATTGCTTTGTATGGTGGGGGAATCCCCGAGGAGCGCCCAACCCCAATGCCCAGTACTGCTGACAGTCAAACTTTTCTTTTGGATTTGCCCTCCTTTACAGTCCAATCTATTCGGGACGATCCTGGTTCACCTCAAGCAAGAGCATTGGACTGGCTTGCCCTGCGCCCCGATCTGGAAAGCCTCGAGCCATGGAGACGACAACAGCTATTTGCTCTTGGCACGTACTACTATGCCTTGGATGGGGAGAGCTGGAATTCGCAACTCTACGGGGACTGGCTCAGTTACGAAGCAGATGAGTGCGATTGGGGTATTTCGAAACTCCAATCTGAGGCATATTGCAATTCCGAAGGGAACCGAACAGTCTTACAGTTGGATTTTCAGTTTCTTCCTGACGTCCGAATGCCTCCCGAAGTTGCCTTGCTGAGTTCCTTGGAGCAAATTGAAATGCTGGGTTGCAACCTGACAGGTTCCCTTGACGGATTGGTACCCATCGAACTAGCAGCCAATCAACCGGTCACTCCTTTACGAAAAATTGGCTTGATTGCCAACCAGATCACTGGCACCATCCCCAGCTACCTCGATGCCTTTCAAGACACCATGGAACGAATCTTGATGGGGCGGAATGAATTGACGGGCGCAATCCCTGATACTCTGTGGAATCTTCACAGTTTGGTTAGCCTTTCCTTCTTCCAAAACCAATTGAACGGAACCATCTCTGCACGCATTGGAGCGCTGTCGAGCTTGAAGTATCTTTTTTTGTCAGACAATCTCCTCTCTTCTACGATCCCCTCCGAGATTGGACTACTCAGTCTCAATGAGCTTTTGCTAAGTTCCAATCTGCTCACTGGGAGCATCCCAACAGAAATTGGAGTGATCGCTGATGATCTTGCTTGGACTGGCAACCTTGATCTCTCTGAGAATCGGTTGGATGGATCGATTCCGACTGAACTTGGACAGCTGGGACACTATAACTTGGTTGTGTTGAGTGGAAATTCTCTCATGAGTGGGCCCATTCCCTCCGAGCTTGGCCAGCTATCATCAGCAACTGGTCTCTACTTGTCCAGCACAGGGCTAGTTGGGAGTGTACCAAGTGAGATTGCTTTGCTCAGTAATCTGGAGTTTTTGAGTCTGTCGCTCAATCCTGACTTGACTGGAGATGTGCCTGTGGAGTTTGGATCCCTGGGAAAGCTAGAGATTTTGTCCTTGCATGGTACTGAGATTGGTGAGGTGCCCGCGGTGTTTTGCCAGAATGTCACCAGCTTGCGAAAAATCTATGTGACTTGTCCAATGGTGGTGTCGTGTCCTGAATCCTGCCCCTGTGAATGCTACCAAGGGGAGGTCCGAATATAAGCTGCATTGAAGAAGTTGCCCGGAATAGCCCGAGTGTGCAAGGATGTAGCTACATTCCCCAACTGGAGCTCTTCAGCAAGCCCGTCCCGGAAGTCTATGTATCATTGTATGGGGGATCAACAATACCCTTTAGAATACGTACATGTACACGTAATGTTAGATATTGCATAATAGCTTCAGCTACGGGTAGTGATCCGAGCTGGGGCCGACCAACAGTTGTCGGGTCACCATGCAGAGAGGCCCAGCTTGTGTTTTTTATTTCCACCTGGAAACGTTTTTAGAGAGTTTGTGAGAAGTCAAGGCACTTAGTTTCAGTAAACTTCAGTCACTCTTTGCTATCCAACTCAAACTTGATTTATTAGGAAACTCAACAGCTCCAGCACAGTATGTTATACAATCCTGGTCCAGATACCATCTTCACCACGTGCTCTGAGATCAACCCAGCCACACACCAAGCTGGCTATAATAGATGTGGCATCATTGTATGCTTGATATCTCTGCATATTTGGACTCCAAACAAAGTTAGATGCTACTAAAGTCCAGAGTTCCCAAGATGTGAGAGCCAACCACAGAAGATTATGTAGGCCCCACAGCCTGTTTGTGGACATTTATGTTTGTTGTATGATACATGTAGGTTCAATGGAGATGCCAGAATCCCAGGCACGTGCTCTGCAACCAATGCCAATGCCAAGCAATCCGGGAGAAGGGTAAACATTTTTGAAAATTTCGTCTCCTGGAGACGATTTGCTTTAGGGGTAATGGTACCGATGGGGGCAGAGGTTTGAATTATACCCGGCGCGCATTACTTAGAAGGCCCTGTAGAAGTCTACGTATTCGAGTAAAAGAGAGAGATATAACCGGTAGGATATAGGGTAAATTACATCAATAAAAAACTTTATTACTACAACTACCTTTCTGAGATTCGCATTGCACTCGTATTATTCAATGTCAGTCATTGAAAAAGATCAAGCGTCCAATCAAATCACAGGCGACCCGAAAAATGAGAGCCAACTTTTAAAATGTGAAGACGCAAGGCGACTTTCATGTGCATGTCATGCGTTGACTGTATCCCGTCAATACAATACTAT